CCTAAAGCAATAGAAAGAGTGTTGTACTGGGCTAGTCTTTCAGAAACTAAAAGTAGGTATTTATTTGACTAATTTAGAACACCCTCGCTAATAAAACACCCTACTTTATTTAAATGACTCTTGTCAATAGAACGTATCACTAGCAGTGATGGGCAGAGTTCCAGTTCCGGAACTGGAACTACGGAATAACAATTATCTGGAACTAGTTTGGAACCAGAACTACGGAACTTGTAAATGCTGGAACTAGCTTGGAACTTAAACTACTAAAATTAAAAACCTAGTTCTGGAACTGGAACTAGTTCCAGAGAAATTTTGGACTTTCCCATCACTGATCACTAGAATAGAACGACCCTCTAACAGAACGCCTCAGTTTTAATATAACACCCTTCTAGAATAGGACACCCCTTTCTAATAAAACAACCCTCTTTAACAGGGTGGCCCTTTTACCCTATTTCTAGAGGATTTTCCCTATTTTTGACCTTTTCGCCCTATTTTTTCCCTATTTTCTCATTTGCCATATTTTTGCCCTATTTTTACCATCTTGTAAAATTTTTAAAAATTCTTCGAATTTTGTAAAAAAATGGTAAAGATGAAGGATTTCTGACTTCTTGGCCTTCCAAAATCCTCAAAATTTTCGCCTGCGGCGCTAAAAATGGAAGAAATTTGGCTTCCTGGTTTTCCAAAATTCTCAAAATTTTCGCCTTATTTGAAATTTTAAGTATGTTTAAGCTTTTAAAACTATACCCTAATTTTTGCCCTATTTTTGGCCGATTTCTCCCTATTTTTGCCCTATTTTTGAGTGGCTGCGCCCTATTTTTGTGTTTTGGAAGGGGCCACCCTGCTCTTTAATCTAAAACCCTTAGAATACCTATACATATTAAAATTTTATTAGTGATAATACCGTATTCATACTAAATTAAAAATAATTTTTAGTCTGGCTAGATCCAACAGATGCATTAAAAGTTCCAAACTTATTTGAAGCTTTAGGAGAATGGCCACTTGAAAATGTGGACGTTTTTTCTCCTAATTTTAATGAATTAAGGGCATTTTCTGTTTGCTTCAGTCAAAAAGTTGAAGGGAAAGAGGCTTTAGAATGCAGACAATTTGTTTCTCAAGCTGAAGGTTGGATCAGCCAAATTCTTAATTTTATTAAATATTTAATAGATAAATTAACCAACAAAAATAATTTTTTGTTGGGCTGGCTTTCAACTATAAAATTACCCCGTGCACTCCAGCCAAGAAAATATTTAATAATTACTTTTGATATTTATGGAGTCTTGATATTTACTCGAATGGGAAATGATGAATTCTTGGGGAAATTTTTGGAGGCACCTGATTTAAATACAAAAGAGATACTTTCTGCTTCTGGCGCTGGAGATTGGTAAAAAAATTTTAGGAAAATATGAAAGATCCGGAATATAATAATCCAGAAAATAATATTCTTGTTGTTTCATTATTTTCTGGAAACAAAAATTCTGGATAATAATAGCCATCGTTTCTGGAATACCCTGAAACAAATAGTTTCCAGATACTTGAAAATTACAGATTTTCCATAACCAATATACAAAAATAACGAAAAATTGACCCCGATATTTATTTCCTTTAGGGTTACCGTTTTCGAGTTGGGCCAACAGTCGAAGCATTTAATAAAAGAAGAGATACTTTCAGCTTCAGGCGCTGGAGATAGGTAAATTAAGAAAAATAAAAACCAACAGTCGAAGCATTTTCGGACTTATTTTTATCGGTCCGGGCCTGACGAGTCTTTTTTCGAGCCAAATATCTTAACCACAACTCGGTTTTTCGTTACGAGTCGTTCCGTTTTGCCAATCTTAATTTCTATATTATTAATTTTCTTTTTTTCCAACAGCTTTAACTGTGGATTTCTCTCTGCAATTCTAAACAATTTTGAGTTAAATAAATGTCTACAAGTTGGTCGTAAATGTGCCAAATTAAGTTTGCTTAGTACAGAGACTGTCCCAGAAACAATAAATAAAGAATTACTGAAATAATTATTTTTTTTCAAATAAATTTTATTAAAAATTAATAATTATTATTCAAAACTAAAAATATTTTTTATTAAATTTTTGGTTATTTTTTGTTTTTTATTTCACCCAAAAGTCTGGAAAAGCATAAAAGAAATGTGGCGATTGAATGAAAAAATAAAAACGTTTTTTTATTTTTTATTAGTATTTTGGTTGTTATTTTTGTTGCTGTTTGGCTGATTGCCCGTTTATTTTTTACTAAATGTTGGACTAGACTTTTTTTTATTTTTTCCATATTTTTAAGCAAAAATCCATATGTATGTATATAATATATTTTTTGAAGAATTTATTATTTTAGCTTTAGAACATTCCTCTAAGCTCCAATACCCCTTTATCACTCTAATCAGTTTATATCTCTCCATAGGTACTCAATTGTATACAAGCGGACAGGACTACTGGATCCTGAAAATCCCGACACTGGTCTATATCTCTCCATGGTACATTTAGAGTGCAGGTGGTGGCTAATATTGATGAACATTGGTCAAGCAGTTATAAGTCTATTTAATAAAAGTTTATTTTCTGATAAAATACTGTAATTTCCTGAGTAATTACCCTCAGTTAGTTATCATTTCACCCACTCGATGAAGAGCACTAATTTGTAAGTGAGGTAATTGACGTGAGGGTTTCGGCTTTCATTCCAGCTGCCAGCCGGCATTCTTAAACAGACTGTCATTAGATAAATTTTTTTAATTTTCTTAAATTTTTATATCCATAATTGTCATATTCGAACAGTTATATCCCAATTTTTTTAATTTCCGAAATTATTGGTTTATTAAGCGATTCTATCACTTGGAGGAAAACTAATAACAAGAATTAGCATTAAAAATGTCCCTAAGTAACTTTATCTATTTTCTACCTACTACTTTTCTATTTAAATTAGAGTTAAGCGGTATCGGGATTTAGAGAAAAACCCGGGATCGGGATTTAGGAATGGTGATCCCGATCCCGGATCACGACACGGGATCCGGGATTGGTTGAAATCGGGATCGGGATTTGAACTGGAGATCTCGATCCCGATCTCGAATTACATCTCAGTTTTTTTTAATTTCCGAAATTTTTTCAAATTTGTAAACCACGTTAAACGGCATGACGCTCAGCCTCACTTGGGGGAAACTAATAACGAAAATTAGCATTAAAAATGTCTCTAAGTAACTTTATCTATTTTCTACCTACTACTTTTCTATTTAAATATTTATCTATGTGAAGGTGAGGGTGGAAACGAAAAAGCTAACAAAACTAAACAATAAAAGGCCGCCAACAACATAAAAAAGACCACCATGTGTGCAGACAAGAGAACAAAACTGCCAGCCGGGCATTTTCCCTCAAAAATATTTTTTCTCCTTTTATTCTTTACTTAGTTGTTTGCTCAAAATTTTATTTTTCTTTTCTCTTCTTTCAACGTGCGTGAGTTAAAAAAAATAAAGTCGATTATATTTTCTTTCTTTTTGGTGCTTAAAAAATTGCTGAACCACGCGCTTCGCTAATTTTTATATAATTTTGGATGATTGATTTTTTGAGAAAATTAGGGCTCTCTTTAGAAGTGATTTTTCTATTATTCTGATTTCTGAATTTCTTATTGGTTTCTTTATGAACTAGAAACCGGACTGGGAGGGTCATAGGAGAATCGAAATTAGTATCTCAAAAAAATCTCGATAGCAATAATCGATATTTTTGATCGAGATCTTGTCTCGATCGTCTCTACTATAGACTCCCTCTTGGAATTGGTGTCGGTCCGATCTACATACTAGAGATCGGATTGAGCTGCTTTCGGGACTTCTGCCTTCTGGGGCCGTGTATGTTTTTAAGATAACCCGGCTGGATCAGGAATCTAGAAATGTCTTTTAAAGATGCCTAAAAATGCCTAAAAATTTTTAAAATGCCTAAAAATCTGGTTCAGGCATCTCTATGTCTTAAAGTAACAATACATTTATTTATTGACACCCGCATTTTACACTTTATAAACTTTTAGTTTAACAATCTTCGATCTACATTTTTCTTTCTTTTCTTCACATAAGCAACAAAAAAATAAGCTGGTAATAAAGCCGGAACATTTACTTTTTGATTTTTTAATTTATTCAACTATTTTCTTTTCTCTTATTTTTTCTCTTTCTCTTCTCTTCCATATCTCTCTATCTCTCTCTTTTTGTTGACAGCCGACTAATGTTTAGACGCAACATTGTTTTGTTGCTGTTGAAAGTAAGAGAACATTAAAACATTGACAGAGAAAAACAGAAAAGAAAAGAGTGTTGTGTTTATTTTGTGTTTAAACTACTCTTCTCTTTGGCCATAAATATTTTTTCTCTAACAAAACAGCCCCTATTTTCCCTTTAGTTTATATTCAAGTCCCAAACGCGTACTAAAAAATTTTTTTTTTTCAAAAAAAAAATTTTGTTAAACATCTTTTCTTCGTTTTCCTTCTCTCACTCTTCGGAAAAAAGAATTCTCAGGCCAAGTAATTCCCCCCTGCACGCACTCAAAGACACGTTCGCTCCCAAAACATCTTCTTCTTCCCCTCTTGTAAAAATAAATATTTTAGATGCGACATCACGGCCCAGGGTGGTCTCTTTTCCTTTTTCTTTGAAATAAATCTTAACCACTTTTTAAGGTTTACAAACATTTGCCAGTCATTTTTTTTCAATTTTTGTCCAAAAATCGAATGATTTTTAGTGAAATTTCTGTTATCATTTTAAATTGAACTTTTTGCCAAATTTAAAGGTTTTGAGTGTTTTTTTTTTATTTTAAATTTTGCTTATTTTACGATTTTTCCTTTTTTTGTTTACTTCCATAAGAAATCCTTGTAAGAAAACTTCGCCATACATTAAAGTAAAGAAATAATTTTCAATTCGCTTAAAATAAAATTTTGAAATAAAATTGGTCCAGACACTAGTTTGGTCTGTTGCCTTTCCCGCTTTTATCGCGGGATTGTTATTTATTCCTGACGGTTTATCTTATAAACAATCGGACAATAATGTATAGCCAAACCCGACTTCGTTTAAAATATACACCTCAGTATAGGATACATCTTTCAGCCCTATGGGCTATCTTATGCATTTTAGACAACCTTCTACTTAATATCGTATTCCGTGTCAGAAACATACCTGATTCGTGCCTCATTTAATATAAAATTCTTGTTATTTCCAACGTCCTTACAACTTCTGAACCTTTAGCCCAGCTCTTTATCATTCATCCCACCTAAGTTTTAGAACTAACGACCGAACTGAGACATGATCTCACTCAAAAATCTAGGTTATCAAGTTGTCAATTTGAATTTCAGTCCATCCTCTCAAGTTCAATCCCTATTTAAAATCTATTTCTGTTGTTCTTTTCCAGACATTTATTTAACAATTAGTAGCTATATCAACATAAGCCCACACACACAAAATTTTGTATTTATTTTTTCATTTTTTATTGTCTAACTTTCCCACTTTCTAAATGTTTATTCAAACTGGTTGTCATGAGGAAAAACTATTAAGTATCAGTTAGTGGGAGTTATTTTATTTTTTTTCGAAATTACTTCCTTATAATAAATTTTAATATTCAAAAGTATCTTTAAATTATGCTTGAGTTATTTTAATTTTAATTATTCTCACAATATAACTCTATTTTTTTTATTTTTATTCGGACTCTCTTAGTGTCACCACCAGAGCTGTCCGCAGTTGCGGATTGCGTAGATTTGCGTGTTTATTTGACTTGCGGATTGCGTTTGCGGATTTTAAAATTAAACTTGCGGATTGCGGCTGCCGATTTTACTATTTTTACGCAATTTTTTGTATATATCAAGCACCATAAATTAAGAAAATCCGACTTATTGGCTTCCAAAATTTTCAAACTTTTCGCCTGCGGCACTGAAAATGCTGTCTTATTATGTCTGTTCCTCATTTTGATAATCTAATATCAATGAGGGTTGGTGTACAAAACTGAAAATTTTCCTGGAACTAATACCAACTCTATACACACAAGACCAAGACTAATAAAAAAATCTTTAACTAAGCCAAGCCTCGAGTTAAACGTCTCTACTGTATGCTACGAATTAATCCAATAAGCTTCTTATATTAATTGTACAAATTATTCCTATTCATTTCCCTTTAGGGTTTCTTTACAAAATAAATCTCTTAAAATAAATCCCTTTACAAAATAGCTTTTTTGTCTCAATAAATTTCTATTTTTGGCTATTTTTCTAAAACAATACATTTTTTAAAAATTTATTTTTTTGCAACATAAATAAATAAAAATATTTATTTTATACGCTCCATTCACCCAATTATTTATTTATATAATTTATGACATCTAGACACATATCCTACTAATTTGTTCGATGGTCTCTTAATATTTTTTTACATTATTTGGCCTCCTTTCCTTCCATAATATCATCGTTATTTTTTTGTTATTAATGGGTGGCTAGAAAATTAACTAGGGAGGAGAATGGACATTAAGGCGCAGAACTGTTAAGGAGTGGTTTTGTTTAGGGAGATTGTCTAGAGAGCTATTAGAGTTATGAACCTATCCACAAATATTTTTCTTCGAGTTATCTAGCAGGGTAAACATGAATTTATTTTAAATAGCGTTAAATATCGTTAACGAGATTCTGAGATTCCAATGGTCGAAAATGAATATAGAGTGATTTGTATGAAATATCTTGAGGGGGATGGATTTAGGATTTAAGGTGGATTAAGTTGAATATGGGAAATTATTAGAGATTTAGAGAGGGATATGGGGGAGGTATCTAAGTAATTGTGATTAAAAAGATATTGGATGATTGAGTAGGATATCGTTAGATATCAAGTTATTTGACCAAATTCTCAAGAGTGGTTTCGATGCCAGAAAGGAAAAAATCGGAGGATGATGAAGGAATGAAGGTGAAACTGACATACTCAGGACATCTGACTTTCTTGATTTTTGCATTATCCTCCCTGGATTACTGACACCTTGCATTATCTCTCTGAGAATCTCAAAATATATCTTGCACCTTTACATGACGTTTCCCCATGTTCTGCGCCCAATCAACACCCAACTCAGGAAGAGGAAGCAATTTTACTCCTCTAATTCCCTTCATTTTAGCTCCAAACATCTTCCCATTTTTCTGACTGTTTCTAATTTTTTAAGACTGATTTTCACGCCCTTTCCACTAAAAAATAATATTTTTAGTTGGTGTTCCTTTCTTCCCTTCCTCTCCCTTCTTTTCCTTCCTTGCACTACCTTCCGCCATCAACAACTTCCGATAATATTTAATTTTTCTACCTCCTCTACTCACTTTTATTATCTACAAGTATAATCATTTTTTAATCAATTCGACTCTCTTTAATTGAGTTTTAGCGCCAGCTGTATTGACACACATTAATAATTTTTAAAAAAGAGTTGCTGTTTGGTCAGCAATTTTTTTGGTTGAATTGTATAGTTAAGTTATTTAATGGGTTAAATTTATGGAAAGTAAAATTTTAAAGATGTGAAATAAGTAAAAAAATTTTTTATTAATTTGAGCGAAGATGTCTATATCAGATTATTATTTTTGTGGAGATTTAAAAAGTGACATAAAAACAAATATTTCTAAAATATGATGAGATGTATTACTGTATATACTTTATTAATTACCCTGAGTAATTGTTATTTCAACCTCGAAAAATTCTCGATCTCGATAACCGGGATTTTTAATCGAGATCTCGTCTCGGTCCGATCTCTAGTCACAACCTGTGTTGTCTTTTCCTAGTTTTTTTTTCGATCTTGGTTTCGACTTTTTAAAAAATTTTTTTTGAAAATTTTACTTTAATAGTATTATAATAGTCAAGAATTTTCCTCCTTTTTCTCCCAATACTCAAAAATTTTGGCCTTTAGCCATGAAAGTTAAAGTTATCAGCGCCTTAATTTACAGAAAAATCAAAACTTTGTCTTCTTTAACTGAAAAAATTGTAAAATTTTGGTTTAGAATCTTGGAGAATTTTGATCTTGGACGACCTTGATAAATATGTATGTATTAAAAAAAATTTTTTTGGATTTATTAAATAAGTAGAAAAGTTTGGCGTTTTTTAAAAATTTGCTCACCCTTTTATTTGAGGAAGAAAATGTTTAAAAAATCGTAATTTGTATAAATCAGAAAATAAAAATAAAGTTTCTCTACATCATAATTTTTTTAATTAATTTTTTCTGATTTGCGTGTTTTAGTTGTTTATTTTTCTGTTCTACTTTTCTGTTTTTATTCTTTCAATTAAATTAATTTTCTTTATATAACCTTTCAGTCTTTTTATAAATTTTATGGCTAAACTTTACTTTTAAAAAATAAATTATTTAGATTATTTTTGAGAAAATAATTTTTTCAAAAAAAAATAAAAATACGTCAAATAAAATTTAAAAAATTTAAACAAATAAATTAAAATACCTATACAATAATTAATTATCTAAAATATAGAAAACCCCACAAAAATATTATTTTTTGATACAAAATAAAATATCAAAGATTAAAGGATTTAATTTATAAAGGAAGGATTAATATACATATGTGCATATTTCATATTTTTAATTACTTTATTGTTGTTAAAATTTAAACTCTTAAGCCTATGTCCTGCCCCTCAATAATTTTATCGAACAGTTTTGTTTTTAAAGTGAAATGTTGAAAAAATCAGAATAAATCAGAAAAAAGTAAAAAATAAAGACAAAAATCAGAATATTTTTATTTCTGTTTTTAAAGTTTATTTATTTATTAAAATCAGAATTTTTATCACAAGTTTAAACTTGAAGCAGCAACCTTAAAATAAAAGTTGCTAATAAATTAGTTAGTTTTTAAAGCATATTTTGTTTTCCTTTCTTTTTAATTTTTTGGAGTTAATTTTTAATATTTTTAAATATTATTATTTTTTTTAATTTTTTAATTTTAAGTTTTCTTTTAATTTTATTTTAATTAGTCTAATAATTTATTCTATATTTTATATTTTTTAATTTTTAAAACAAAACAAAAAGTGCACTAGTACTTTCTAGACTTTAATTTATTAATTTCATTATTATATTAAAAAATATATCATTCACTACCAGCCTCGATTTTGCACCTATATATTTTAATTTTATTATATTACTTTCTGGCCCATTTCTAAATTAAATTTTTGGAGTGCTTTTTGGCATAGAAAAAAAAGTTTTTGGGTAAAATTTAAAAAATCCATTTTTTTCATCAAAAAATCTCTTTTTCCCCCACTTCCTCCCAGAAAAAAAATAATTTTGCAAATTGCCCACAGATTTTCCGGGAAAAAAAATTTTTTTTTGTTTCTGTACTTTATTTTTTTTTAATTTTTAACGAGAAAATCGAAGCTATTTAAATAATATTTTTACTAAAAAATAGGTGAATGTACTACTTAAATAAATAATTTTTTAATAAAAAATAATAGTAGTCATCATTAAAAATTCTATTAAAAATTAAAAAAAAAATTATTCAGCCCTTTTTTCCGTTTTTACAAACAGTTATAGCTTTGCGACATGGTTATTAAAAAAGACTATAGAGAATTAAGAGAAATTTCTCTAACAAGTTTATTTATTTATTCTGAAAAAGTTTTGATTTTATTAATTCTGATAATGTCTCTCTTCTTTTTACACACTCTTTTTTAAAAAAGTTGTTTTTATTTTTAATTTTGAGACATTTTACCGAAAGACAATTTACTGAAAAAATAAATATGAGGTTTGGAGGTTTTCCCTTGGAAAAAATTTTTCTTCCTTCTTTTACATATTTTATTATTCTGAAATATTTATTGGCCAGTCTAATACCAGTCTAAATGGATATTATTGTCACTTTAGTTCATATCTTCTTTTTCAATTTCTCAGTAGGGATCGTCCTGAACGATCTTTCCTCACAAACCCCAGTGATTTCCCCTTAAATTGTAAAATTCCGGACTCGGATCTCCATTTCCATAGCTTCCTGATTATTTCAAAAATACAAAAATCTAACCAAAAAATTTATATCAACGAGATTCCATTCAAAAGAATATTTTAGGGAACAAAGGTCAGAAATTCATTCAAAAAACTTTTTTCTTATAAAAAATATTTTTATCATTAAAAAAAGGCAAATGCTGCGCATTCCACGTTTTTTTCATTTTATTAATTCACACATTTAAAATATACATTCACATATTTTTCTTATTTTCCCCTTTTCTTATTTTTGTTTTTTATTTCTTCGGCCGTGCCTGTCTCCGCCGTTCGCCCTTAAACAATCCCCGAGAGTTGCGGATAGAAAAATTAAAAAAAATTATTTATTAGAGAAGGAGAAAAATAAAAAAATGAAAATTTTCTTTATATTTTTTACCTTTAATGTTGTTATCACAACAAAAATTTAAAAAAAAATTTTTATTTAAATATTTTAATTCACCGAATAGACAATTCACCGAAACATTAAAACAAATTATTTAAAATTACTCTAAATTTACTTATTTTATTTATTTTTAAAATTAATTATTTTTTAATTTTATTTTGTGTCCAAATACATACCTTAGAGCCTTTTGATTTTTTTCAATAGCAAGTCTAAAAACTCAAATTCGGTTAATTGTCTATACGGTGAATAAATTAATTTTTCCTTTTATATTTGTCAATGAATTCTGATTAAAAAATGATTCTGAAATTTAAAAATTCTGAAAATTTTTAATTCTTTTTTCCTTTATTTTTCAAAGTGTATTTAATAATTATTAATTATAAACAAAAATTAATTTTTATTTAATTAATATTGTCAAAATTAATTTAAATCAAATCCCTCTTATTATAATTACAAAATTAAAACTGTACGGCTATTAATTAAATTTTTAAAAAAATTTAAAAAAAAAATTTTATTTAACGGGCAATTCATTCAGAACACACAAAACAAAAATAATTCTTTTTCTATAATAATTTAATATATTCAACTTTTTTTGGTATTTTTCTGAAAAAAAATTCTTTCCTACCCATTTATCATTAATTTACAATTTTCATATTCAAGCATTCTTATAATATTCTCAGAAAATTTAAAAATAATTTTTGCTTTTGTATTTTAAAATTCAAATTTGGTTAATTGTCAATACGATGAAATGTATCTGAATTTTTAAATAATTTTTTTTGTCAGTTCTTGGAATTATTATTTTCTAAATATTTTTTTAAATAATTTTTTAAATTTTATTTTCATAAAATTTTCACGGATCCCCTATGTATGACACCTCTTGAAAAATCGGTCGTTAACCTTAGAGCTCGACACTTTGCTTATATTTTTCTTTATGCGTCACCTTTCGACAAGGAAGAAAAATTTATTTTCATTAATTAAGGACCCTTGTACAAGGTAGAGCCCGGGTATTTTTAAATGTTGCATTTAAGTGCATGTGTGTGTGTGTGTGGTATTTATTTGTTAATTTATTTTTTTGTCTGGTCAAAAATTAAATTTCTTAAAAATTGTTTATTTAAATAAATTAATATTTTTTATTATAAATACGTTAAAAATTAACTCGTTATTTTTAAATTTAAATTTTTCTTTTTGATTTTTATTCCAATAAAAGGACACGAGATTAGAGTTCTCGGTTCTCCGAACATCTTTAGATACCCAGAAACAAATTGAAGAAGAATTGAAGAATCGCAGGGAGCCCTCTGTTTTTATATAGCGGAAGAGAGCCCATTACTGCCCTCCAACCTTAAAATATTTTAAATAAACTTTTTTTACAACAAAAAATAATTTGATTCCCACAATCTCTCTAATAAACTTTTTTAGACCAACAAAAAATAATTTGATTACAACAGTCTCTCTAATAATGCAATTTTTATAAACCAATAAATCTAATAAATCTTTTTTCCATTTTTTGTGTTCTTTGTTTTGTTGTAAATAAATACTTTTTTTAAATATCTTTCTGGAATTGGCCAAAAAAATTTTTGGGAAAAATAATTTTTTGCCTTCTTTTTATGACTAATATACAAAAAACAACTGATTTTTATTCTTTCTTTTTATTTTTTAATTAATTAAATAGTCTCTTTTATTTAATTAACACTTTTTAATGTGCTTTACCCCCCCCCCTAAAATCACAAAAAATTTTTTCTCCCAAAAACTAAAATACTTCTTCCTTCCTTTCTTTCCTCTCCTCCATTCATCAAAAAATAAAAAACATCTACTATGCCAATATAAAAATATTTTTTTTTCGTTTTTTTTACTTGCAAAAATAGCCAATTGTCAGCCTCTTTTCTAAACTTCTCCTTTCTTCATCTCTTCTTTTTTTTTATTTAATTCCCCCCCCCCCCCCATCCTTCCAACTGAGAGAAAAATGTGTCAGTTCGCTACAGCTAGTATATATTCTTTGGCCTTTTTTTAATTTTTATATTTATCCTTCCTTTCCCATTCATCTTTTGTCCATTTTTCTTGGTCAGACTTTGTCTTTTTTAATGAACCCCTTTCTTCTACCAGCCGTTTTTAGCTAGTCCCCCTAGGGATTTTTTTAGTTTTCTGTTTTGCTCAAAACAAAAAAAAATATTTTTATTTATAGTTGCAAAAATTTTTTTGGCGTTCTGTCATTTTATTTTTACAAATAAAACAAAAATAAATATTGGGAAGATATCTTGTGGTATAAATAAGCAGCCATAAGGGATAAACGAATAACTTAGTTCAATCGACCTTCTCTTATATGGCACTCTCTCCAATGTTACTTTCCATCCTATGTCAGTTCAATTCGGTCTCAAATATTATTAGAGAGATTTTCCTGTGTAGTTACTCCTTCGAGCCTCTCAACAGTTGCTTCGAGTTATAGGAAGCAACTGTCGGCGCTTTCAGAGAAAGGCATCCTAGCCTCTCAGAGAAATTAGCCCAGAGGCTTCGGAAAAATTTTTTCATCCTATCTTTAGATTTCTTCCCTATTTTTAAATATTCTTATGAAAATGGACTATTTCGACTTGAAATTTTTCTATGATTAAACGTATCTCGCGAGCTCTATCGGATTATATGTACCTCAATCAACTTGCTCTGACAATTTTACTTTTTCTTCTAACTCTACGGTAGACTGGCATGATTCCACTCCCTTCCAGTCGTCTGTTTTTTTATTTTCCCTATTTTATTAAATTATTTACTCTATTTTTAGTAAATTAAATAATTCGCAACATCAGCAGTATTATTTTAAAAAAAATAAATATTCTAATCTTCCTCTCATTTAATAAAAAAATAATAATAAACCTCCCTCTCATGCATTTTTCTGCCGTTATTTCCCCTTTCCCCCCTTCTTCTTCATCAATTTAAATGTTCACTCCTTTATATCATTTTTATAGTTTCCATTTTTGAATGTTTAATTCTCTCCTCTTCTTCATTTCCTCATTTCTTTACCATTTTTTTCTAAAACACAATCGGCTGGCACCGACATATCCGGCCGCCACTGACTGACTGGCCTTTGGTTTATTTTGTGCTCGGTTAGAGGTGGTTTATATATTTATTACAATATAAATAAACAACAACACACACATGCTTATTTTTGTGTTAAAAATAACTTTATATATTTTTTGTTGCAAAAATTTTTTTGTTTTTAAAAAAATTTTTTATTGGGAAAATAAAGAATCGAGAGGGGATTAGTTGTTCCCCGTGCTTCGGAGTTTCGGGGAGAAAGCGAGATGGGTACTCAGAGAGGGGGATGCTAGGGGTAATACTCGAATTAAGCTCAAATGTCAAGACGTTCGGGGACTGGGACAGGAGAGAGGGGCAGAGGAGAGGGAAGGAGTGAGTTAGAAGAGGGGAACTGGGGCAGGATGCAGCATGGGAATGATGTAGGAGAAGATGACAGGAGAGAGAAGATTTGTGCATCTCTAAAAAATATTTTTGGAATTCAAAAATTAATGGTGGAATACCGAAAAAAATACAGTCAGACCCTATAATATTTTTCCATTTTTCAGAATTTCTTAAATTTAGATATTTTTAGTTTTCAAGTTTAAATTTTAAAATAAGCTTAATTATTTAACTAAAAATCTTTTTTCAAAAATAAAACTGTTTAAATTAACCGCGTGAACTCGAGAACGTTAACTTTACACTTTATAAACGTTGACCTGTTTACCGGAAATTAAATTAAAATTAAAAAAAATTTTCAAAAAAAAAAAATAAAATTCCGGTCACACAAAAATATTTTTTTAATTTTTTTTAATTTTTCAACCCAAATTTAAGTGAAAAAAATTTTTTTATAAAATATTTTATTTCCCTCCCCCAATTATTTACTCATCTGTCTATTTTTCTGCTTAAAAATCCCTACTATAAAATATTTATTAATTTTCTCATAAAATGCTCCCAAGTTTTTAATTTATTTTTCCAACTTTATTTTAATTTCACTCCCTTTTAAATCAATAATTTTAATATTAAAAACTTTGTTTGTTTAAAGAAAATAAATAAGCATTTTTTCACGCTCAATTTGCTTTTATATGAACATTTTTTCTCTCACTTTGCGCATTCTTAAAAACTTGGAAAAATAAATAAACTTTAAATAAATAAACTTTTTTTCCTTTGTATTCTTTACTCTTTTATTTTTAAAATTAAACTTTATTTCTTTCCTTTAAAGCTTTAATTAAAATACCTAAGTTTATTTTCTTCCTTTTTATAGTCTATTTTATTCACTCCAAAAAATTATTTTTTAATCGAATCCGAAATTTAAATTTTTTTCTCAAGTATCCCTTAAATTTCCTATTTTTTCATTATAGAAATCTGAACAATTTTTTATTTCCTTTTGATTACCCAACAAGCCATTCTTGGAGGTTAAATCACACACATAAACAAAAATCTTAACAGCCAACCTGTCAATGAGATATAGCATATCCAGAACCAAATCTCAGTTTTTTGCTGGCTTTTCCTAGAGGAAGTCAAATTCCTCAACAGTGCTTCGAAGCTCGTACCAAAATTCGTACTCGTACCTCGTACTCGTACTCGTACCTGGTACGAAGTACGAGTACGAGTACGAGCAAAAAAATTGGGCAGGTACGAAGTACGAGTACGAGTACGAGGCCAAAAAAAAGTGAAAAGTACGAGTACGAGGCCTAAGTACGAGCTCGTACTTCTCGTACTTGGTGTTAATAGGAAAATTGAATAAATATATTTTGTTCCTTTCATTTTCCATTGTGTGAGCGTGTAGCCGAGTGGTGATGGTGCTTGGCTTCACCAAAGTCTATAATAATTTAATTTTGGGTTCGTTTCCTATTCACTGACAAGGAATTTTAATATTTTTCTCTTCATAAATAACTTATTTATAATTTTAATTTTTTTTAAAAATTATTGTATTTTTACTTGGATTAATTATGAGATTTTGACCAGCCAAAATTCTTAATATTTTTTTCTTTGCACACTAAAAGTGAATTTTTTCGCCTACGGCCTTCGGAAATTTTCAAAATTTTAGCCTGCGGCGCTGAAAAAATAAGAAAGGTGGCTTATTGGCTTCCAAATTCTAAAATTTTCGCCTTCGGCGGTGAAAAATGAAAGAAATCTGGCTTCATGGCCTTCAAAATTTTTCAAAATTTTCGCCTGCGGCGCAAAAATAGAAGAAATCTGACTTAAGGACATCCAAAATTCTCAAAATTTTTGAAAAAAAGGATTTGAGATTAAGAGGGATATAAGGAGATTAAAATGTGAAAAGTTCAGTGGAAAAGATAAAAAGTTCCATGTAAGAAGATGAAAATCGGATGAAAAAATGTCGGATTTCAAGTAGCCCGACCCATCTTTGAGAAAATATTTCTCCTTGCACTCCAAAATGCTCAAAAATTTCGCCTGCGGCGCAGCAAATTGATGAAATTGGAGGATTTATAACTTCAAAGCCTTCCAAGATTAAAAAATTAACACATACAACGCTTAAAATTTAAAAATAGATGGCCTGAGCTCCAAAAAATCATAAAAATTTTCGATTTTTTGCTTTTTTCTCAAGTACGAGTAAGTACGAGGTACGAGTACGAGGTACGAGGCCAAAAATAAGGGTGGTACGAGGTACGAGTACGAGTACGAGCAAAAAAATGAGTGTGGTACGAGGTACGAGTACGAGTACGAGGCCAAAAAAAGAGGTGGTACGAAGTACGAGTACGAGTACGAGCAAATTTGAAATTTCGAAGCACTGTTCCTCAATTTTCTACAGCCCGATTTTCTTACTTTAATTTTGCCTAGGAGTGTGAGAGAACTTCAATGAAAGGCCACCCTCCTCAAGGGGTACAGTCTATCAAGGATTTTTATTTGGGCGTCTATTAGAATATTATTTTTATAGAATATTTTTATATTTTAAAAAATAAAATAAGGAACTAGAAAATCCAAAAAATAAATTAATAAAAAAAGTTGCGACGTTTCCGTCCTTTTCTTTAAAAAAACTTCCGTATATTTATATGTATGCCTGCGCGAACTAAATTTTAATGATCATTAAAAAGATAGAAAAGAGGAAAATCATTAAAAATAAAAGAAAGAGAATTCTTGACAAATAAATAAATTTATTTATTTTTATTTTTGAATAAAGCTAATTAATTCTCATTTTTAAATAATCATTCTTTAAGCATTGAACACTTGCCTCACAATTGTAGAAAGAGGCGGGGAATAAATAAAATTTAGAATTATTATCAATGCTGGGTAGGGTTGTCGGTTCTTGGAAAATCTTCGGATATCCGGAACCGAACCGATATCCAAACCGAAAAATCATCGGTTTGGTTCGGTTCGGTCCAGAACCGACAACCCTAGTGATGGGTATTAAGCATTTGTTGGCCAGTTACCCGCCTATATCTCTCTTAATCCTCCGAAAACCATGATATCGCCAACGATCCGGCAACGGCGTAGCCGTTGCCGGAGCTACATAGCTACCTGAGTCGGTACTGATTATTATTATTCTTGTATTATCCTCATTCATTATTTATTCACCTCTCAACTCTGATATATCCCTTTTTGTTCAGGCTTTCTAAAATTTTATCTCACTTACATACTTTTAAGAGTTCCTTTTACGATATTTTTCATACATTCCTTACGGATTTAGAAAATATTTTAAAAATAATTCTGCAGTATTCTGAACAATTTTTCTTCATTAAAATTTTTTATAAATGGCAACACTTTAAAAAGTGACGGCTCAACTTCATTCCCTTTTTTTCTATATTTATTTGGGGCGCGAGTAACACAAAACAACACAAAAAACAACAAAAATACATTGTTGCCTTCCACGCGTCCTTCAAAAAAATTTTTTTTCTCCCCCACATAAAGCGCAAGGCCGGTGTCGGTGGCTGGCGCTCACCGTTCGGCTGCTTCTCAACTTTTGCAGAAACGATCCATTCCCAAACAATTGTGTCCGTCTTCAATTTATTTTTTCAACTTTAACACACAAAATAACCCCTATTTTAACTGTCATGTTTGGGCGCGGAGTGGTGCTAGACGATCACTTATAATTTTGTCAAATGATCACCCTTTTTTCTGAAATTTCCCACAAATATCTATAATAGTGTCTTCTAACGTCGGCCAAAATTTCAGAATTTCTAGTTATTTATTTACGAAATTATGGTCGAAAATGTCGGAGTTTTCCCGTAAAAACGACTATTTTTCTGTTTTTTATCATAACTTTTGAAATTCTGAACCTAAAATTCTGAAAATTTCAAAATTTTTAGCTAACACTTTTAACTACATTACTACAAAATTTCAGAATTTTATCTCTTCATTTGACTTTTTTATAAGCTTTCGCCCATCGTCACAACGCCCAAAAACCCCCTCTTTACCCCACAGGTGTTTCTTTCATTTTCCCACCTTTTCATTCTCCGTTCTTTTAAAAAATACATTTTTGTTCTCATTTTATAAATTTTTTTCTTCATCTTCTCTTCATTCTTCACCTCATCAATCTCTCTCTTTATTTTTCTTCCCGTTCATTTTTGACCATTTTTCTTCAAAAAAATTTAGTTAAATCGCTCTCATTTCTTTGCACACCCAAAAATTGCGCGCGTGCCCATTTTCACAAAAATACAAAAAAAAATACAAAAAACACGTATTTCTGATGTTTGGAAACCCTAAAAATTATTTATCATTTTAAATCAAAAATTTATTCCAAAAAAAGAACGTCAAATAAAATTTATTTTTAACAACAAAACTTGTCTTATAGTACCCCCCCCCCTCCCTATTAAATGATCTTCCCCTTAAAAAACCCCGCGTTCGCGCTTTCCACGCCTTTCAATCTTCATCATCATTATTGCCTTCCAGTAATTTTTTTGTAATTATCGCCAATAAAACGAACACTTTTTTTAATCCCACCCCAAAAATAGAGTAAAGAAACATTTTTAGATTTTTATTTATTTATTAGTGCAGCTATTTTCTTTCCATTAATTTTATCTTTAAAGCTAAAAATTGTCTGTCAGAAAATGGAAAAATTAAAAAATGTTACTTTATTAATATCTCCTGCACTTTTAGTAACGAAGGGAGGAGGATGCTTTTACTATTTTTAAAAATTATTTCGTAAATTTGTTTTCGACTTTTCTATTTTTTGATAGCTATAAACTAGGATTGTTCACTACCGGTTATTCCCCAGTACCCCGGTTTTTGGTTTCGGGTTATTGGACAAAAACACCAGTTTTCGGGTTCGGTTTGGTTAACCCAGCGAACAACCCTTTTTTGATATTAAACCATTAAAGGGGAATTTCGCCAGACTGCGGAACCCTTTCAAGCCATTATATAAAATTTTTTTATTTAAAATTTATTTTTATTTTCAGCCTAAATAGAATTGCATCAGAACGTTCATAAATTTGATTTAATCCCGGTTTTTGTACTGCATTTGTCTCTTAAAAATTTTCTATTAAAAAATAAATATCCACACCATTTCAAGTCTACAAAATATTTTTTATTTTATTAAAAACAACTTAAAAAGGCTATAAACTTTAAATAAATAAACTTGGAAAATAACTCAAAATTACATTTAAACAACAAAAACGGCTGGCTCCGCCCACTTTTGGCTCGTGCCAATCTTTTTGTTTTATGCGGGGAATTTTTTATTGTTTATGCCTCGACGTTGGCTGCTGACATTTTTAATATCTTTATGCAACAGATTGAGGTATTTTCTAACGGTTGTTTATTAGATTAATATACCGTAGTCTCTGTCTTCAATAAACTTCCAGTTAAAAAATGTCTTATAGTAGCATATCTCTCTATTAAAAGGGAGCCTCTCTCATGAAAATTTGAAAATTACTTTGAAGCAAAAGACGAAAAACCGAAAAGTCGAAAAACTAATTGATTGACCACTAGGTGGGGGAGTTTCTAGAGCGATACCTCCTACATTTCTACCTCCTATCTTTTGTTCTGCTAATAGGGTTTCGGATAGTTCGAAATCCTCGGATATCCGGAATTTTTCCGGATAGAAAATTTCCGGATTTCCGACCTTTTTTCGGATCAGAATCCGACAACCCTACTAACTAATTGCCTTTTACAACTCATTTGACTATTAATAACCGTCTCCATTAAACTTTTATCTAATTGTAAGAACTACTAAAATTAACCAAAATTTAAAAAATTGTTTTTTCTAACCCAAAAATAGAAATCAACCACGTCCTCTTCCACTTCCTCTTCCTTCTCCGCCTGCTCCTCACCTTCCGCCATCACATCTACAAATACAGCAACTACAGCAAAGGCAGCCCAATTAGTACGTTTAATGACACAAAATGGAAGTATAATTAGCGATAATAATAATGCCTCTATCGGTGGGCGCGGTAATGAAGGAGACGGTAATCAAAAAAATATTGGCAAATACAACAATTTAAATAGTAATAAAAATAACAACTCGAGAATAAATAATGAAAAAATGGTAAATAAATAAAGTTAAAAAAGTTAAGAAAAAGAGTGATAATTTTGATAAATTTAAAGAACAAATTTTTTAAACGGCAATTTTTTATAAAGTCGAAACCCCTCACAAATTATTTACATATTATATAGTTCAAAATACTTTTTTGTTTGGCCACTATGGCTGTCTCGGATTAAGAAAAAGGTGTGGTCGGGTTTCGGATTGATGTTTCAAAAATTTTTTCGGACAGTTTCGAATTTCAAGTCGAAAAAAACGCATTCCTATTGGCCATTGGATGTAAGAGCTACATAAACGATACCCACTCTTTAAGATAAATTCATTATAAGTTGTGATTTTTTAAGTTAATAGGGGGTATCTAAATTTCGAAATTACCCTTTTCTTTAAAGGTAAGAACACCACCTTCTTTAATTTCTGGTATGTCGAGTACAACAGATGCCAGTATTGGAACTAAAACAACTAATAGTTCATCAGAAGGCTCTTCTTCTTTTTCGGGTTGGATTATTTAATAAGTTTTTTCAACCAAAATTTTCTAAAAGAATAAAGTACAGTAATATAAGCAATGAGAGAGACTTTACCGTAACTTTTGAGTTTATTCATTTGATTCTGGTCGGTTCCGTACAAGGCGATTTTCTTCCAAGGGCAATCTTGTATCATTTTTTAGAACTACCCAAATCCTAAGTCTAGACTAAGATTTTATAAATCTCTAGACCAAGAGAAGACCTCTCCATACATATAAGATACATCTCTTACAATTTGTTTATCAATTTGAAGCCTAGGAGATATTATCAATTTAAAATACAACTCATTATAAGGTGTAATTAAAATGAGATCCGATTTTTTAACCTTCTAAATTAAAGAAAAATAATCATTTAAAAAGGCATTTCTTCTAGCCAACGAAAGAACAGCAGCATTTGATCCCGACTTATCTACAATTAGAGCGCGTACAGAAGGAGCCGAATTAGTTAATATAGGGGGTTGTGGGGGAGCATTTAACAATAATAATATAACAACAATACATCCAAACACCCCAACAAACAATAATGGGGGAATAACTACAAATATAGCTCCAAATACAGGATTGCCGCCTCTTTCGCCTGAACAACACCAATTACTTTCTACAATGTTTGTAAGCCCTCCAGCTAGCCAGGCTGCACTTTTACAACTTTATATGGCGGCTTTGAGAGGGAACAATAACAATGGAAATGAACAAAATTTTCAAGGTGTAGTGATTGAATGCTTGAGAATTTTATGCAAAATAACGGAAAAATTAAATTTTAGAAATTTTTTAAAAAATGTTTGAGGAGTGGATTCCTAAAAATAATCAAAATCCTATTAGAATATCACTATAAAATACACCCAATACAATGCACACTACATTTGAGGATACATTTTATAAATTTGACTGGCAACTGGATGTGAGAAGCATTTAAGCTACATCCGCTTTACTCCCTCTCTTTTTCTATTTAATAACACTCGTTATAAGAGACTTTTCAGCCCTAAAGATTTTATCAAAAAGTGAGGTTTAACTTATCTCCCTTTTTAATTTAAAGGTATTTGTTCATCTCCACTCTTAACAAACAGTAATAATATGTCAATAAATAACAGCCAACCCCCAAGTAGCCATTCCTCAATTACACCTAAACAACAATCACAACAACAACAAAGACAAAGCCCCTCAACAACAAAATTTTCCCCTCCAAGTATTCCAACAATTGAAGGGCCCTCCTCTTTTAGTAGACCAGTATCACAACAACACACACCTTTACAAACACAAACAACATTCCAAGCAACACCTGGAATTCTTCAGCAACAACAGCAACATTTATTTAATTGGTTAAGTTATGCTACTTTATTTAATCAACAACAACAAAGGAATTTTGCGTTGGTTTTTTTATGAATATCTAAGCGTAAAACGTGTTTTTAAAACTTGTCCGAACAATCTTTAAAAATTCAACTTACAAACTTAATTGTCTGACGAACAAGTTTTAATGTTTAAAAGTGTTTGTTTAAATGTTTTTAACAAACAAGACTTGTTTTTACAATTACAAAGAAAATTTTATTTTTAAAACTTGTTTTTGTTTGAATGCTCCTGAACATGTTTGAGGGCCCAAAACATGTTTGCAAACCCCAAAACTTATTTTCCAAACATGCTAAGTTTTGAATAAACATAAAAACATCAAATTTGTTAAAACATTCTAAACATAAAACATGTTTTGAAACATTATACCTGAGCTTAAAATATGTATGTACGTTACTATCTTTAAAACTTGAACAAAAACTTGCATGTTTGAAAGGAAAGTCTTAAACTTAAGTATAATGTTTAAGCATGTTTAAAAAATAAGTTTTAAGTTCAGAAACATGTTTCACGTTTAAAGTTTAAGAAACAAGTTTTAAATGGTTAATAAACATCACAACTTGATTGTTAAAAACATTCTAAACTTTTCAACGAACATAAAAACTTACACTTTAAAACATGCTTGTTTAAAACCTCTAGCCTTCAAAATATGAACATTCCTTTTACTCTTTTTAAGTTCTTTACAACAACAACGACTTCCACAAACATTCCAACATCAAAACAACAATCATTTGAACGGAATAAATTTAAATTTGTTGTTGCAGCAATTAGCAGCGCAACAACAACAAACCAATAATGGATGTTGTAATAATAATACTGCTTTTAGACCTGTTGCTTGTAATTCTAATCCTTCAACTACACAATTTCCTCTACATACGGCTGTTCCTCAATCTCCCGTGAATTTTAGATTTGAGCAGACTGGGACAGGAACTGTTAAAAGAGGTGATGATTTTAGAAAAAAATAAATATTTGAGTGATCAATCGCTGATGATTTGTGTCGCCTTAGCGATAATCGAGCCGTTAACATGAGTCCTAATGTTTGTGGGTCGGGTCTCGATTTGAACAAAATCCGACCCGACCTGTTCTTAACTAATATCTTCTTACGACAAAGTATGAATTTTATTTTAAAAAGATATTGTTGATTCCTCGGCAACCAACCAAAAATCAACCACCAAACGACGTTCTTCAATGCACAGTCACAGCAGTAGTGCAACAAACTCAACTAGCTGTATTTTACCTAAATTTTAACTCTTTAATTTCTAAATGTTTTCAGCCCAACAAGGCTACAATTTAAATTATCCAACACAAAACCAAACAATGGAAAACTTAACCAATAACAATTTTAATTTGCAACAAGTCCCAAAAATTAGACAAAAACAGCAAAGAAGGAATGGCGGAACTGAAAAAGATTTGGCCAGTGGTAATGGGACAAATACTGGGGGTCGTATTCCAAAAAAGCAACGTAGAATGAGGTGAAATTTTTAGTTATAGGATTTAATTTGAGTAATTGAAAGATCTTACCCATCTTTATACTCGTACTATAATAGGGGGTCAAAAACAAGGATAGTATTTACTTGTACCAAAAAACGTTTATTGAACAGAAGAACATTATTTCAAGGAGCTCCTCCATAACTCCGGTTCCTGGCATCTTAAAATCTTAGTGCTGACCGGAGCCTTTTTTATAACTCACTGAACCATGCACAGTACAGGAAATAATTTCGAAAATCAAACGAAATATCTTATAAAATTCCAAAATAATAACTTGATCTCGACAGATCTATAATTTTAATACTTCCTTTACTCTTTTTAAATTATTTAGTGTTGATGGTGATCATCTTATGACTTCAAATGCTATCACTTCCGTCGAATCAACATCCATTAAAAATAACATCAATAATCAGCAAAAGAGTAAGGGAAATATTTTTTGATTTTTAGACTTTTAGACTTCCTCTCATTTATTTTTCTAGACAATCTTGATCATTCCGGCCATTATGCTGTATTACCATATAACTCTGTGGTACAACAACAAAAGCACCAGAAGCCTTCCTTAAATGAACACAATGCCAACAATATAAACAACCATTATGAAAACAATAATATGCCCTCAATGACCCAAAGTGTCTCTCCCAGTGGGTCGGGTTATGGCTCTTCATCCTCCCCAGCTGGCACTATAGCCTCCCCCACAGATGGAGAATTTCGTAGGCGTACAAATATTTCTTGTGAATGGGATAAGTGCAAAGAAGTTTTTAATAATGAGGATACTTTTGTGGAGCATGTAAATAATGTACACGTGAGAATGGAACAGGTAGTAGATTAAAAATTGGATGAAGGGAGAGATTTGGGTATATCAACTCACTATCTAGAGAGAACAAGGGTTTTAGGCTTTAGAGCTGTCCAAGCCTGAAAATATTCCAAGACTCGAGATAGACTGACAGACCAAGCCCTAAAACCCCAAGAAAAATTTTGTGGTCAAGGCTCAAGTCTAATAGTCTTGAAGAAGCTTCAAGGATATCAATTAGAACGATTAGTCAACTTTTTGACTTTATAAAATTTTAAAGGCCCCACATTTCTTTTGTCGTTGGTCAAGTTGTAAAAGAGAGCAGCCCTTCAATGCTCAATATATGTTGGCACAACATGTTAGAAAACACAGTGGAGAAAAGCCTTACACTTGCGAGGTACTTTAGTTTATAAACTCTTCTCTTCAATTGTTTTTCTAGCATGTTGATCCAGATGGTGTTCGTTGTGTTAAAAGATATAGCCGTCTGGAAAATCTTAAAACACATCAACGTTCTCATACTGGAGATAGACCTTATCAGTGTGCTCATTGCAATAAAGTACTTGACTATATTTTTTACATTATAGAATTACCTAATTTTTGTTTGTAATGAGAGGAATTGATGGATTCCTCTAAGGAAGGGCAGTAAATATTGCCGTTGAGAGAAAATAAACAGTTGTCCTTGGAGTTGTCGGTTGTCCCTTTTCAAGGAAACCGGTTGGAACAGCGGAACCCGATGAGATCTCTTTCCTTCCCTCTACAACACTTGTTATTAGTGGAGGGAATGAGTAATCATAACGCTAGCCTATAGCGAGATTTGCTATTAATTCTATTGGGCTGCAGATTACCATATTTTCTTTAATAAAACCCCACCTTGAAGAGCCCCATCTTGGAATAAGCTCCCTCTGAATGAGAGCCACCATTTAATGGGAATTAAAAGAAATTTAAATTAATCTAAATTTAAATACCAAAAGGAATTTAACTTTCTGATTTATCTCATTCATTAAATCTTCAATTTTTCCAGACCTTTACAAATGCTTCAGACAAAGCCAAACATCAAAACCGAACACATAAAGACGAAAAGGATTATGGATGTCCAGTATTTCAGTGTTCAAAGCGCTATACAGATCCCTCTTCACTCAGAAAACACGTTTTTCATGAACATGGGGAAACTGTTTGGACTTTTGCCAAAGCAAACAAAGAAAGGAAAAAGGCAAAAGATTATGGGCTAATTGGAATAAGGCCAGATGGAACTCCTTACGCGTTAGTAGATTTTTTATGAGAAATATTTTTAATATTTTTTGAATGAAATTTTTGATCAATTCTGACATCTAAAATTAATCAAATTTCAGAATGCCTTATGGTGCTAGCAGTAGTGATGAGGATCGTGAAGTTGATGTGAGGCCTCATTATTTTTTAATATCTTATACTTTTATCGTTTTTAACGTTTGTGGTTCGATCCTTCAAGAGGAAGGATTAATTCTGGTAACTGTATCCTATTTTAATTTGGATTCTGATAAATAAGGTGTTTGTTGTGGATCCTGTGAAATTGTTGTGTTTGTGGATCCTGAGATCCACAAATATATTTTAGATAATTTATTAATTCACTTTTCCCAAAATACAAAATTTAATCCTCTTTTTTAATCTAAAGGTTTGTTATACAACACCTCCTCCCGAAACAACAGGAGAACATCAACAGCAACATCAAAACGTTACAAAATTACCAACACTTAGAGAACATCACCAAGAAGATGATGAAAATTGTGTTGATTTAATTGAAGAAATAATTCCCTGTTCTAATGAAAGCGTGGAAAGGCAAAAACAAAATAATGGAGGAGGAGGGAATTCTTTAAACAATTCCCCAGCAACAAACAATTCACAACAACAAAATGTTGGGAATTCTGTAGAAAATCAGAGCAAAAATCAGTCACCGTCTTCTTCCATCCAAAATCCTTCAAATCCTTCACAGCTTCAAAGACAACCTTCTTTGGAACAGAAACAACAATTTCTGTCTAATAATGGTTCTCCAAGTCAAAATTCTGAGGGTGGAATAATTAACCAGTCTAAGCCTTCGAATAAATCACTTGCGTCTGTTGCTCCAATGCTACAATATTCTCCGCAACAAGGGTTTAACTGGCAGGTAAAAACTTTATATTTCTCTTGATAACTTTGGATTATCTAGCTTTATGAGTTAAACATCTCTTTATTTCATCCCAAGCCCATAGTAGAAAATTTACTACGTTAGGACTCTACAGACTGCTACTGGTTTCGCCTTCTCTTTTAAGCCCTCACCATGCTTACTTCTGACTTTAGTTTCTTGGATTTTTTTTACATCTATAAGGATTCTCCTTAAAACACTTGTGATCTGTGTCTTTTCCCAAACATTATCACCATTTTATGAAAATTCAAAACAATTTTAGGATTCAACCGGGCTTCAGCCTAATAGTAACGCATCCAACAATCCACCACCATCCTCACAAAAAAGAGTCACGGCTACAGTTGCCCCTGGTTTGCGGCGTCAATACGAAGACAATAGCCAATGGCTTGAATCAACTACAGACTCCAATTCCCCTATTACCCAAATGCAACGTTTTAGCATTTCAAATACTCCACAAAACGAGGTTTTATTGCAACAACAAGCTTTTAGACAACAACAAACAAAACAACAAAATGTTTGGCCTACAGACACAGGGCAGTCAACAACAAGAAGTGTTCCTTTTAACCCTTCTATTCCTCAACAACAACTAAAACATCCTTCTTCCTATTTTTATAATAGAAACACAACAAACGAGGATTTAATGTTGTCAACAACATATAATTCCATACCCAGTCCAGATGTTTCTAAACATTTGCAACAACAACAAACATTTTACTCTCCCCAACATTCAAACGAACTAGGGACAACAGTAGCAACAAATGTTCAAAATGTCATTCCTGTTGATAATAGAGTTAAATCAAAATGGACAACTGAACAACAACAGAATGAAGGATTTGCTCTAGATAATTCTATTATGCCTGTTGCTGCTGATTATACTGTTGAAAATACACCTGTTCAACAATATCGTCATTATGGTTCTTCTTTTACATTATCTATAGCGTAGGACCAAACATGGGGGTGGTGTCAAGAACTCTTGGGCTTGAGGATTTTAAAAAAATTATTAAAAATATTTTTAGGTTATCACCCAAAATTCTATTATCAAAATCAACCAACTCATTCAGACTCAACTGTCTCTTTTGTGCCTACAGCAGAAACATCGTTTTCAGGCTATCCCCAACATTGTCATTCACAACAACAGCAACAACAAAACTTTCAACAAAAACAGCAACAAAACAAGCAACAAAACAGACAACATGTATATCATAATAATCAAATGCTTCCATCTCTTTTGTCACCAGAAACATCGCCTTTGCAAACAAACAATGTTGTTCCTTCTAATTATACTCCTCAACAACATCAAAAGCAACAACAAAGACAACAAGAATATCACCAACAACAATATCAACAAACACACCCTTTTTCTGTTATTGCAAACACACAACAACATTATGATGTTTACCAACATCAGCACCATTTAATGTTCGGTCAAAATTATCAACATTATAACCAACAAATGGGAGGACAACATTCACAATCACAACAATCCCAACAATGTTTTCCTAAAAACAATATTCCTAAAAACAATGTTTCTAGACAACAAAATGTTGGAGTCAATTACAACAATTATCCAACCCAACAACACTATTCCCAACAAAAACATCAACAGCAACATTTGGAAGGAAGAGGGATGTTTGAACAAACATCCTTTAATTACCAACAACAACAATGTTCGAATTACCAACAACAAAAACATCAACACGCCTTGCCATTACAACATCAACAACAACATTTTGACTCTACTCAACAACAACAAATGTTGCCTCAACAACAAACAATGGTTAAAATAATTTTTATTATTTCTCCAAACATTTAACAAACATTCCCAAACATTTTATATACATAAAAACATAATAAATAAATGTTTTTAAGGTTTGCCAACAGCAACAATTACCACCACAAAATTTACCTTCTATTGACGATGAGGATTTGGATGAAGAAGCTAGTAGTCTTATAAGTGATTTGCAAATTAGCAAACAACAGAGATAGGATTGTTTAAAAATATGAGAAATAAATTATTTTGTTTATTGAGGGGATTTTTAAATAATTTTTAAAAAAATTTTTTCATTTCATTCCCTTAGAATAATTTTTCTAAAATATTTTCTCCACCCACAAAAAATTTTTTTGGATAGAGAATGAGAATCAGAAAAAATTAATTTTTGAATATTTTCCTTTCCCTCTTAATGTAAATAAATAATAATTATTAAAAAATACTCTAATTATAAAAATTAATTTTATTTTAAGAGAATTTTGGGCATTTTAAATTTTATTTTTTGAAAACCTGAGAAAAGTTAGAAAAATTCGAAAAAAATTTTTTTTGAATTGAATTTAAATATTATGTTTAAAATGCCCAACTTTTAAATATGTTATTATTGTTTCTATGCCCTTTTCAATGTGCAAAACCATTAAATATCCGGTTTGCGCCGCACTTCACCACGCGTCAAAAAATTTAAATTTTTAACGGGCCATGATTTTATATTTTTTTCTAAAAATTTCAAAAAGTCCATTAAATTTCTAGAAAAAAATTTTTTTATTAAATTTTGTTTTAAAAAATGGACTTTTGTTTGTTTAAATATTTCTTCATATATTTTTATTAATAAATGATTTTTTAATTAAATATTTTCAAAAATTTTTGTGTTTATTTTTCCATTTATTTTTTTCAAGTTTATTTTTTATTTTTAAATATCTAAATTGTTTTATTTACCGACAGATGGTAACGTTTTGTCATCTTTCAGATTCCCGAAAATAAATTAGAAATTTTGGGAATTGAGCGGCTTGGAATATTAAATAAATTCCATCCATATACCGCATTTTCTCTAATTGAAAGGCCAACTCTTTTTAAACCTCTCTTCGCAAAGGACTGCTCTAATGGATATCAGAAATGGGAAGATTGTGAAAAAATTTGTATCGGATTTCGATTCAAAAAAGTCTGGACTCGTCCCATCACTAAAGACAAGGCCGTTCTAGAGAAAATTCTTCAGACCACTGTATTTACTTAAAATTTGTTTTGAAATCAACTCCTTTTTTAAGATTAGTAGAAGATAGATAAGTTTATAGAAAAGGGTTTTTCTTAGGTCAAAAATTCTGAACTTTAAATTAAAAATATAAAAAATATAATACAATTGGGAAACAACAAAAAAATTTTTTGAGGAAAGCAGCAAAAAAATTAAATTTTAATTAGCAAAAAAATAGGAAATTAAAAAATGTTTTTGGAAAATAGGAAGAAAATTGTGAATTTAAAAATATTTTTTTAGAAAAAATTTTTTTTTGGTTTATAAAAAATGTAAATTAAGTGTACAAGCATATAAAGCATAAAATGAAAAAGTCAATTTGTATATCAAAAAAATAATATAATAGAAAGGAAATTTTGGGATTTATGTCTTATGTAGATCTAAAATCAAAATTACATAAGTAAACAGATTTATATTTAAAAATTAAGATCGAAAATTAAAAAAACGGGTACACCCTGAGTATAACGCCGAGCAATAATTTCGTTCAGAAATGTCAAATCTGAGACGTTCTGGCATGGTTTGATTCAGCTCGTCGAGACGCATCGAACCATACTAGGATACCCCTGATTTGACAATTTTAAACAAAGTTAAAGATCGGCGGTATACTGGGCTCGCGGTATCTCGGCCTCTCCCTTAAAACACTGATTTCCTTAAAATTTCACGCCATAAGACTTGTATTTGGTCAAAAACCGAATGCTTTATTCTAAACTTGATTTGAACAACCCTACAAAAAACATAGAGATATCTTTGCCCTTCTATTAAATTTATCAATATAGAGAATGTGAAAAGAGGCAGAATTAAACAATCGCTAGGGAAATATTTTTCAAGATATTTTAAAGGGGAAATTTAAATTCACAAATTTTATCCGCAAAAGGATTTTAGTCCCAGAACATTTATTTAATCTTTCAAAGCAATTGTTTTCCTTATTAAATAAACATTGAATAAAGTCAATATGTAAATTATTTACTAACAAGGGTTACCATTAAAGAAAATTTTTTTTAATTTCGAATCCAACAAAATTCCAAAAAATAAATTTTTTGTAAAAATTCCTATCGTAACCCTCTCTAAAATTTAAAATATATAAGTAAATACTATTTAAGAAAACAAAATCTTAAAGATCAAAAAACAAAATAATTATTTTTAATTTAATATAGGCCGCATCCTCGCAAATTATTGGCGATTATAACATCTGTTACGGCATCAAATACAAATTGAATGTTTGTGGTGTCGGTAGCACAAGTCATGTGACAATAAATTTCTTTTTTTGTAGAACGATTTTTGGCTTCGAATTGGGCTTGGATGTAGGCGGAAGCTTCGTGGTAGTCGGGACGGCCTTTTGAAAAAAAATTTTTTTTAATTGTTTGAATTTTTTAAAATTTTTGGGCATTTAAAACGAATTATAAAAATTAAAAAAAATCAAAATTTAAATAATAAATTATTTAATATTAAGTAAAAAATTAATTTTTACCGTTATATTCTGGGAAGCAAACAGTGAGTTGAGACTTTTTAATTTTTTCTTCAAATAAATCTTTTTTATTGAGAAATAGAATTATGGACCTTGAAAAGAATTTTTTAAAAATTTAAAATTCAAAAAAATTATTTTTTAATCAAAAACCCACGTATCAGTAAACCACTTATTGTTGCAAATTGAATCAAATAATTTAAGAGACTCGTGCATTCGGTTCTAAATGAAATTAAATAAATTATAAAAAAATTTCTAAAAATTTTTTCGAAATTTTTAAAAGCTTTTATGATTTATTTTCAATTTTTTAAACAATTAAATATTCTCAAAAAAATTAATTTCCCGTGCCGGGAATCGAACCCGGGCCGCGTGGGTGAAAACCACGAATCCTAACCACTAGACCACACGGGAACACACTAGGTTTTCTTAAATAACAAATATCACTAAATAAAATAAATGCTTTCTAAACAATTTACAGTTGTTTCGTCCTCATGCAAGACTTGGTCATACTCAGACATTGCCACACAGAAAATAATTGCTGTAACATCCTAAAAATTTTAAAAATAATTTTTCATATAGAGTACACTCTCTAGTAACCTCAAAACAGTGAATCCATTTTTTCCGTTCAGAACGCTGTCCTCCAACGTCAAATAATTTGAAATTTAGACATTTAAAGGTGAAAAAGACCTAAATTTTGAAAATTTTTTGAAAATTTTTTTGAAAATTTCTAAAAATTTTTAAAATTTCAAAATACAGAAATTATAACACCTCAACAATTCCAGTAGTTTTAACCCTAGTTCTAAGTATATCTTGCTCTGTAGGTTCGTAATTGGGCTGTCCTAAACGTTCCAAATCGTCGAGAAAGCTAAAAAATTGGGGAAGAATAATTCTAAAAAATTTTCAGTCTTCCAACTATTTAGCAGAGTCATTCAATTGATATTCATTTGAACGCGAAAAGCATTCCTCAACACCCGAATCAGTCCACAATCGTTTCATTGCTGCATGCAATTCTTCACTAAAAGGTTCTGTGTCTTCCATACGGGAAACAACGTCCATTACTAATTTGGAGTCTAACTGAAAAATTTTAAAATTATTTTAATATATTTTTGAGTTTATTTAGTTATTAAAAGAATCCCCTTCTATTTTAAGTTAAGAAAAGGCGTGTTATTTTTGAATAGAAATCCTAACCCGAGATTTAAGCACGCCCTTAAATAAAATATAACTGGGGAAAATACAACGATAAGTCCTGCTTATCGAACAATTAAGGAAGAATTTAAATTTGTACAAAAAAATTTTAGAAACATTAATTAATCGTCAATAATATTTTTGTAGATAGGGTACCTTTATATAAAAATCCTCCCACCCCCCGTCAACCTTTAAGTCATTAAAACAAAAACGAAATTAAGAGTCGAGATTTTTCAGTTTTCAAATAAAATTTTGTTAAATTTTCGACGGAAATTGACCAAGAATTATATCTATTGATATATTTTACCTCTCTTTCAGGCAATCCAAAAGGAATAGACAAATTGCCCATAGCTCGTAAAATAGCCACTAAAGACTGGATTGTGTTGCTATAAACTACCGGTTTATACTGTTTGTAGTCCTCTGCTGTAAAGCCTGACTCGTGGATAATTCTTGAAAAAAATTAAAAAATTAAAGAAAATTTTTTAAATATTTTTTTAACTTCATTTGTTTCACAATTGTCGATTTTCCAGATTCTCCAGCACCGAGCAGAAGTAATTTGATGTCCCTGGAGGCCTGAAATAGATATAAAAATAAATAAATTGTAAATATGAAGAATCCAATAAGGGAGTTTTGAAATTTGAATTGAATTTTTAGATTTTTTTCGTTTTCCTTCTATCATTTAAGCAAAAGAGAAATTAATTACATTAATAAAAACGATCATTCACTCTAGCTAGTTTTATTGAAAGAAAAGAGTTTTTAAAGAAAACCTAGTGTGTTCCCGTGTGGTCTAGTGGTTAGGATTCGTGGTTTTCACCCACGCGGCCCGGGTTCGATTCCCGGCACGGGAAATTAATTTTTTTGAGAATATTTAATTGTTTAAAAATTCCAAAATTATTTTTCCTAGGTCTATAAAAATTTTAGAAATTTTTTTGATTCAAGAAAAATAAAAATTTTACGTGAACAAATTCCTCCTTCAGATTCTTCTCTATCATTTTTGATCTCTCCAAGGCCGCCCTCTCCTCTTGACTCATTGTGCAGCCCATTGTTTTGAAACACGCTGTTAATCTCTCCGACTTCAGGATTGAAGGCGTCGTTTTGACAACTTTTTTTGTTGGTTTGTTTTATCGTTTCGAGAGGTAAACGACAACGAATTACTCTTACTCGACGTAAACAGACACGGACAATATTAACTGTTGTTTCTGTAAAATGTGATGATTTTCGATCGAGTTTGTTGTTGTGATTCTGGGCTTCTAAAATGTATAAAATTTAAACAAAAATAGTTTTATGATACATATAACTAGGAAGTTTGGCAACAAAGTTAAAGTGAGACCGTGCGGAATCTGGGTGGAAGGCTGAGGGACAGGGGATGAGAGAAGGAGGGTTTCTAAGTGTAAAATTGAGTAATAGGATTGAAAATCCGTAAAAATTTTAAAGACCTTTTGCTTGTTGTCTATATAAGAAAACTTCGGTTAAGCTTTTATACATATAATTTTAATTATTTCCTAGATATACCCGTAGCTGTTTTTTTCTAGATGTGGTGGGATAACAACAAAGTGTAGCTCATTGTTCTCAGCTTGACAAGGCACGCTGATGAGCTATGATTTTTATATTTTGACCTAAATACAACCAATTTTTAGGGCGATAGAGTGGACAAGGGAGGAATAACGATAATATTCCAAGTCCTTATAACCAAAAATTTTTTTAAATTTAAAAATTTAGAAAAATCACCACAATTTTCTGCAATTGTTGTATCTTTATCTATTTAAATTCCTCTACTTTCCAATTAATTATAAAAACAATTTTTGTCTATACAATAATTAATATTTAACTAATATTGGGGCTTCCGGCCCCTCAGAAATTTGTTTAATTCTGGAATTTTTTCTGACGTTTTAAGACAAATAAAGATTGATTTTTTGTTGTTATTTGAATATTTTTATGAATTTTTAAAAATTTTTTAGACAAAAATGTCTGTAGCAAAATAATAATAAATTTATTAAAAGAGAGAAAGAATAGGGTAATTAGCTAAAAAATAATATTTTTAAATAATTATATATTTAAAATTTTGTAAATAAAAATTATTTTTATTGTAAAAAATAACAAAAAAAAATTTAAAAAATTGTATAGTGAAGGAGGGAAAAATTTAATTATTATTTTTAATGAAAAAGTTTTCTGATTTTTTTCTCACTTTTTTGTAAAAAGTATACACTCTGTTCCAAAATCGTATCTTATTGAGAAGCGTCGAAAATTTTTAAAATTTTTACATAATATATATTTTTATATTTAAAATTTATTTTAAATAAATCTAATTTGTAACAACCTAAAAAAATTTGTATAACCAAAAAAAATAAATTTAAAGTGTTCCATGTTTCGAAACAAAAAAAAATCTTCTAAAATTTAAATAAGTTCAAAAATATCGAAATCAAAAATATCTTTAAAATCTTCGAATCGAAATTTCGAAGCAATTCTTGTTCATAATTATAAAGTCAAGTATTCGCCCCTTTGTTTTATATGTCCTTGATTGAGAGAAAAATCCATGAAAATTTTAATTTTGGATTAATCTTAAAAAGAATATAGATGGCTGGGTATATGTAGCTTTAAACAATTTTGGAGGTTTAATAAAATAATTAAAAATATTTTTGTTTGTTCAAATCTTCTTTCCGGTTCCATCCAAACTTGTTTTGGAGAGAAATTTTACATTTTTCTTAACTTTGGAGGATATTTTCTGAATTTTTTCCTTAAATTTCCGTCTAAAAATTGATTTTATGGAGTAATAAGTAACTAGTGTTAGGCATGGTACAGTAAAGCCGAGGTATTTTTTCCGGTATACCGATAAGTACCGGCCAGAAAGTTTTTTTGATATTTTTGTATTTGAACTGATAGAAGGATATCGGTGGATTTACAGTGATAAGATGAATTCGGTGATAAATCGAGGGATTTATAACGATAAAGGGAAGGCAGAAAAGAAATCGGAAGGTATTAAAAAGTGTTGTGTGATGCCTCAATAATTTTTTTGGAGGCACCACGATAAAAAATAAATCAGGCTCTTAAAAAATGCAAAAATGATTATATAAAGCGTAATAAATAAATAAATAATTAATTAACAACACGTAATTAATTAATTAAATTTCAAAACACAAAAAATAAAAATAACAAACAAGCACACAAAGAATATTAAACACACGAACATTTTTAAAAGAAAAAATAAATTAAAACAACCCATATTTGACAAAAAAAATAAAAATTACGTATTTAAAAAATTTTTTAAAATAAAAAAACGTCAAAAAAATTTTTTTCTATTAAAAAATGCATATAAAAACAAAAAAATATTTTTAAAATAAAAAAGCTAATATTTTTATTTATTTTATTGTACTCCTTTCCAAATAAAAACATTTTTTTCTCTTTCTAATAAAAATTTTCTTATGTTGACATGTATCATGCAATGAGTCAAAAAATAAGAGAAAAAAATGTAATTTAAGGGGGAAATTGTGAAAAAAATTTTTTCTTATAAATAAACAAGGCTTAGGGATGGATTGATTTATTAGTGAAATAAATGAACAGAAAATTTTGTTTTAGAAACATGTTGACATTAAGCCCGTAGGCCCTAAGTGTAAAAATGCGCATCAGAGGTGAATCGGAAATGACGAAGGTGCCGGAAATCGGAACTGTCGGAAATCGGAAATGGCTCAAACTTTGGAAACGGAAGTCGGAAATCAGCATAAATTATGGAAGTCGGAATTCGAATTCCGATTCACCTCTGGTGCGCACGTAGGTCAAAAGCTAAATAGAGAAAAAAAACTAATAAATCTGCTTTTTCCGATTAGTGGTCAATTAAATATCTGCAATTGTGTAGCTGGCAGCTAGGACTTATGGATCCGGTCGAAAAAAGTCGGGATATCCAGAAAAGTTCAACCCAGATATCGGATCCGGATATCCAGGAATGCTCATCCAATCTATGCCCAACTAAATTTTATAAACTGTGTTTGGTATTAGGTTACTTTTTTTAATTAAAAAATTTTTCCTTTAACTAAACTTCTAGAAAAAGTGTTGAAACAAAAAAAGGTTCTCTCATCTTAATAACCTCAAAACATTATTTGGCCACACGGCGGAAGGGAAGAAACCTATCGATGAAGTAAGTGAAATAAAAAAATAATGTAGAAGGGAGGGTTATCCACACAAGAGAAGCACATTAAAATGGGGAAAAAAATATTTTAGATGAGGGAAAGTGAGGGAGGACGAATAAGAAAAAAACAAAAAAAAAATTTTTTGGCCTATATATTTGAAATAATGCCTGAAGGATTTTGGAGAATGAATAGAGAATATTGAAAGAGGGAATGAAAGAAAATAAAAAACAAACATAAAAAAGTTGTTAAAAGGATAGAAAATAATGAAGATGATGAGTAAAATTAAGTTTTATTTGACAAAAAACAAAGAACGACAAAATGACAGGCAAGGTAAAATAGGACAATTTACCTATGCGACAAAATGTCACAGACCCATAAAAATGACAAAATGGCAAAAATCTTAATGCCAAACGTTTTAAAATGTTAATAGGTCGATTTGGTTAAAAATTTGTTAAAAATGCCAAAAATAACATTTTGCCATTTAAGAAAATTTGTCATTGAGCGCTTCCTCAAAGTGTCACATCTCATAATATGATGTGTAAAGTTAAAATGAGGTTAAAAGAACAATGCTGAGAGAGGGAAAAATAAATTTTAAAAAATATTGAGTGAAAAAGCCCTCATTTTTCTGATAACAAAATAAAAGCAAAATTTTTTACAAAAGGTCTTAGTAAAAAAGAGAAAAAGAGAAAAAAGCTAGAGAGAGTACATATTATTTTAAAAGCAATTTATCGATGAATTTGGCCATTTTCTAGCAAAAAAAGCAAAAAAAAAATAAAATGTATTGAGAGAGATGTACCCCCTACTGGTCTGTCAGAGAGAGATATACACTAGATATTTAATGGAGGGATATTAAAGGGAAGGGAAGGAGCATTTCTCGTCCTTGCCACATTGCCAGATGGGGAGGTATATATTTTCTAGTATATTTCTCTCTTAGAGTGTATATATATAAAGGCCGAAGAGGGGTATTAGCAGCAACCGGAAGTCGGAAAAGCCAATAATAAGTGAAGCGGAGAGGAAGCTGATATGTCTCTTTTAAATATTAGGTATGTTTGCCCTCTCTCACCCCACACTAGGTTTGTAAACCCAAAAGATCGAGAGCTTTGGAGATAAAAAAGTAAGATGAGGAGAGGAGGGGGAATTTACAGAAGGTATGGGAAAGTTGAAATTTTTCGGGGCGAGTTTTAGGTCGAAGGAGTCAAAGTTTCTGATTCATCTACACTAACAGGATCTCTTATTTGGAGTGTAGAACAGCAAATAAGAGAAAATCCTCTAAAGTCGCATCTAGTTCAAGACCCCCCATAAGACGACCATTTGGGTTGACTAAACTAATAACAGACATTTCTTATCTAGAGGGTAAGTAGGGAAAAACAGCAAAAATTCTTCAAAATCCCTCAAGTTCAAATCTCCAATATAAGACGATCATTTGGGTAAACCGAGGGTTTGAGTACACTAAAGAGATCTGTTATTTAGAGGGTAAAACAGAGAATATAAAAAATCCCCCATGTTCCCCTAATTCAAGACTTAAGTAGATTACTTGATCCTTTGGATGTTGACCATTTGGGTCTTTAGTATAAACTCAAGGAGAATGAAAAACAAAAAAATGTCAAACAAACAAAAATGCACATGCATATAAAATTCTTTAAAAAAGCCATTCATTGAATAAAAAAATAAAAAAAAATGATAAGAAGTTTAATGACAAGAAGGGGGGATTATACTTTGAATTACAAGAATTTTAATTAAAATAGCAAAAAAATACAACGTGTTTTGTAAAATAATTAATAAATTTTTCTTTGTTCCGGTCAAAAATCAAAGAAAATAAATTTTATTGTAATTTTAAACAGTCAAGAAAAATTTTTGGAAAAATATTAGCCTGAACAATATTAAAATTCCGCACCGTCCTTGATCGTTTGAATTAACGAGTAATAAAACCTTTGTGTTTTACTTGTTGTGTTTGGGATAAATCTTTTCGACAAAAGACGGGTTGTACGATTATTGAGATTTATTTCTCTCATAGGAACCGTGATTTTTGTTCAAGATCTCAGTCGAATTTTTACTTTCAACAAGGATGACAGGGATGTGCGCCATTGCGTTTCGGCGTTTGGCGCGCCACGTAAACTTTGGCGCACAACCCAAACAAGGATGACGGTTTTAATTTAGGATATCCGAAAGGCAAAAATCTTCTGTTACTGGGTTGGGGTCGTTTTGGCGCCGGGCCGTTTTGGCGCGAGAACAAAAAAGTGGTACTTAAGCGAGACCTAACTTCATAAAAATTTTATCAAATTTCTTAAACATCCTTAGCTACCTGCTCCAGAAATTTAAGAATTTTTCATAAAATATTTCTGAAGTTATAGTCGATAGACCTCGAAAAATTAGGCATTTTTCAGAAAATCAACATTTTTGGCCACACTTTCCGAAATTCTTGATCAAAAATTCTTAAATTTTTGGAGAACTTATATAAAGGTACGAGAGTTATTATTGCAAAATTTTATCATTTTTGATAACGAACTTGCTATCTTATAAGCTCGCGCCAAAACGGCCCAGTCCCCTGTTACTCGGTTACTAACCGACAACTCTAAAGTCGAGGTTTACTTAAAATCAATTTTTCCAACTAAGCTAAAACAAAAAATAAAAAAAATTTTCTACCCAAAAAATTCCCCAATAAATAAATATTCCTGCAATTTAAAAATGAGTGTCTTGGGAGTTTGCCTAGAAAAAAAATTCAAAAAAAGGCATTTTTAAAAGACAAATTATGGATAGAAGGAGAGGTTTTTGTTCTTCCAAAAAAATTTTTTTGAGTAAATAATTCTTCAAAAAAAAATTTTTTTCACATAAAAATAAGAAAAGTATTTAAAATAAAGTAATGTTAAATAAAAGCATCGATTTCGTTAAAGTATTAAATTGAAGAAAAATGGGGAGGCTTTAAATATAAAATATGTATAAAAAATGTCAATAAATTGTGGAAAAAATAAAAAAAAGAGAAGAAGAAGAGGAGGTTTTGAGAGTAAAATCCTTTTAATAAATAAATAAATTTTAAGGGAAGAGAATTTTTCTGAAATTTTTTCAAAATTTTTTTGGAAAAAAATTTCGTTAAATTTATTATGAGCTTAATACAAAAGTCAAATTTTTGGAAATATAAATTATAGAAGGATTGAACAAAATAAAAATAAAAAATGAGAGGAGGATAGATGCAAGCATTCGCCTAGCCCATAGCTTCGAGATCAGAAACAATTTCGTTTTGTCTGTCTTCGAATTTCGCACAGTTTTTAAAGTTAATGTCGTTTTAGGATCTTTCGATAACTGATAAATGTTTTGCCTTGGTAATCAAACCTAAAAGGTACATAGTCAATCTCCACTCGCAAAAATACAGCCCCACACTGAATTGGGAATAGAGACCGAACTGTGAGAGTCATCCAAAAATTGCACGAGATATCTCGAAAAATCTCAATCTCGATTATCAATATTTTTGTTCGAGATCTAGTTTCTTCTCTCTAATTAGAACCATTAAAACCAATTTTTAATTTAATTTTAGGAAATGTTTTCCTAAAATACAATTTACTTTTTAATTTTCTTCTTTTAAAAAATAGAGGTATTAATTAAAATCTCCTCTTAAAATTATTTTTAAAAAAGTTAGTAAATAATTAATCGGAAATATTATTAATTATGTAGGCATTTATATTTAAAAATAATAATTAAAAAAATAAATGTTACTAAAGCCATTTATTTGGCATTTTTAGTAAAAAAAGTTTTTCTTACATAACTAATATTCTTATCAAAACTATTTGTCACGTTCAAAAAAATTTTTTTTTTATTAATAACCGAAAAATTATTTTTATTTTATTAATCTAAAAATAAATTTTTCTTTTAACTAATTAATTAATATTTTTATTCTGACCACAATTTGGGACAAAAATAGAAAAAATAAAAAAATTGGGAAACTTTTGATTAAATAAATAAATTATTGATTTAATTAATATTAAGTAGAAAAGTGTTAATGAAAAGGAAAAATATAAATCAAGTTTTAAAATAAAAGTTTATATTTACTTAGAAAATATTAAAAATAAAGTTGAGAAAATTATTAAAAGACGATTTTAATTTTAAAAAATTGGAGGAAAGCAGTTCTTTTAAGAAGGCTTCATTTGTATTAACTAGAAATGTCTGTGGATCTATTTTTGGACAAGTAACTATCAAAACGAAAAAATTAAAAAACATGGATAATTCTAAAATTTTTGAATTTTGAAAATTTTACAAAAAATGACGAAATATGGACCAAAATATGCAAAATTTGTATACAACAAATATGCAACATATGCAAGAGATATACATTAAGAACCGGGCCCTTAAGTGCTCGAACCAACGTAAAAACTGCATTTTTGGGCTTCCCACATCAAGACATATCCGCATACAAAACATGCATTTGCATGCTTCTACTTATGTACGATATTATCCGATAATAGTAACCAGGTATCCATCTGAAAACGGCCGGAGATATTATAACCGGCTTGAAACCTGATTTTTTTTCTTAGCCCGAATTATTCTTTCTAGGAACCATATACAAAACTAGCATCATAGAAAAAAAAGAAACGACCAAATTAAAGTTTTTTAGTTAATCAAATTTTATGGTCAAAAGGTTAAGCTAAAATTTAAAATTTAAAAGAAAAAGTTAAATTTATTCGTCATTCTGGAAATAAATAGAGAGAATATGGCCTTACAAGCCTTGCAGTAATATATACACAAATTTTTTCTTCTTTTTTCGTGCCACTTTTTACTGCGAGGACTCTCTCACTACAAAGCTTCCGGCGGTGTTTTGCTCAACACAAAATCGATGGAAACTTCGAGAAAAAAAGAGGGAAGATACTTTATTGGAGGAAATTATAGGGAAAAACTGAGGTTTACGTCGAGACTTGAAAACCTTCCTGTTTTTAAGTACACCCTTGGGAAAGATAAAAAATTTTGTGACTTCCGGCGGTTTTTAAAATATTTGTTGAGTGGTGTTTAAAATCTAAACTCAAAATCGAGGATGTTTATATTAGATATTGGACCGTTAGAGATTTCGGTCATCATTACAGTATCACGGTTATCAGATCGCAATTTTTCGTATAAAGCTGAACTGGGCTATCTATTAGGCCTTCAGTAATGTAAAAGGTTAAATTGCGGACCGTTGTGTTATGCGCTAAATCACGCCGCTTCATGCATAGCCTTAGGAATTAAATAGCTATATCTCGAGTGAATTATTAAAACCTAAAACCGATATCCTTAATCTCTAATATTTGAACAGAAAATTTCGGATTTTTTTGGGTATACCGAAAGTACCCAAAAACGGCAAGTAATAGGTGTGGTGTAATTATTTGAGAGTGGATAATTATTCGAGATATACAGTATCCGAGTAGTTCTCACTCGGTTGGATGACAGGAATCGCCGAGCTTCCAAACACAACTCATGCCTAACAAAAATGTTTTTCATAAAAATTTCTATTAAAGTTTTCAACACATTCTAGAAATATATAAAGGATTATATATAAAATGCCTGATATCCAAGTCCATTCCCAAAGGATTTAAGAGGATTGAAAAAGACATAAAAACGTGGGAAAGTTTTGGGAAACAACAAAACTCATTATTTATTTAAATTATATTTTTTTATGTTCATTTATTCTTGCTTAAGACAGGGGCGGGAAATAATGGAGGGGATAATCATTTATTTTTACCCGTTACCTCGAAGTATCAAGTAAGTAAAAATAAAAGGAAGAGGGATAATTAAAGTTTCGAGGCCCCAGTTTTTACTCAGAATCCAAGCATTCATGTTTAATCAGAATGGGATGCCGGAGAAAGAGTATCGAAATCTTGAAATAGTGGAGAGGTTATCATTTTTTACGTGAAAATCTGCTGTATATCCAGATTGATAAAGAAACCGCTGTATTAGACTAACCTTTACAGACTCGTATCTAGGGCTAGAAAACCCAGACCTGGTCACGGATACTGATTTTGGTATCCGTATCCGGATATTTACGGCGGATACAGCCGGATACAGGCGGATATCCGCAGGCATTTTGGTATTATCTGTATCCATATCCGTATCCATGACCATGTCTGAGTAAACCTACGCAGAGCTTACCACCATTATTTTTCTTAAGGTATTTTTTGAGGGCTACAAGCAAGGCTGCCGCGAATGTATATTATAGTATCGGATTTTTAAATCAATTTAGAACCATGAATTAATTAGTCTGTCTATGCGCGCACCGCCAAATGCTCTGTTGCGGACAACGGATTGCGTCCGCATAAAATTTTCCTAATTGCGGACAAATACAATTAAATAGATTAAATTAAAATTGGGAATCAATTTGTAATTTTATTTGTTAGAAAATTTTTTTTTAATTTAGAATTCGTCATAAACAAACAAAAAACTAATAAAAAAAGTTCCACAAATGAAGGCAAAAAAAAGTTTTTTTTCTATTCCCCCTCCTTTTTGGCTTTTCAACTTTGCGTGTATAAAAGCGCCACAAAGTTTTTGGCAAATGTAAAAAAAAAGTTTTTTATAAAGCAATAGAAAAAAGAAAAAAAAATTATTTTACGGCGCTATGAGTAGAATTGAATTGAATATATTTTTCTTTTTTTTTATTTTTTTAGATGGACTTGTATATAGGGAGAAAATGAATAAAACAAACATAGACAAAACAATGCTTTTGATGATGAAAAAATTTTTTGTTTGTGGGAGTATTAGGCGGAAGTTGACGGTTCTCGTTTCTCTCTAGTCTGTCGAGAGGAGAAAGTGGAAAAATTGAAAAGAAAAAGGAATGAGAGAGGAAAAATTATTGAATTTATGTAAAATAGGGGAGAAGCCTTTCTACCGCTGCTAGGACTGCCGCAACGCATAGCTTAACGTAAAAATGTCGTAGGACGTTAATTTTGGTACCATTCGACGCAGCTTGAAGAGCTGCGTCTAAAAATACCAAAATTGCATAGATTCAACTTTTACCAGCCAAGTTATGAGCTCTCAAGTAGACTGCGTTGGGGTAGACAGGAGTGTACTATGTAAAATGTTTGCGTGCTTATATGCAAAGAAGTTAATAATTTTTTTGTTTTTAAATACTTTTTGTATTTGTTATGATAAATTAAATGGGGGTTTTAAAACAAAAATAATAATAATGCACAGCAGGTTGCCAAGCGTCCGCAAGCGAAGAAAGTTTAGGAAGCAGTTGTGGACAGACTTTTTTACTGAGAACTGGAAATAATTTTAAGAATATAACGGTCATAACTAATCAAAGAGTACAAATGGTTATGATAAACAATAGATATAAATTATTATCCAAGCTCGTGAATTAGGAATGTCTAGTCGCTAATAACAGGGATACTATTATGGAGCATAAGTGAACCAGTGGTCCGTTTGAGAGGCAACTGAGAGGCAGCGAGTGACAGTTTCGCCCTTCGGATTTTAAAATCAATTTCGGCACACTCCTGCTGAGAAACACGTTATAGAGGTTCTACCAAATAGATCTCAAAGGGACTGAAAAGAATCAAAGGTCCAACTGTCATACTTATTAAAATTTTACCCCGCCTATTTTCAGCAAGTATAAATTTGGGGGACAGGACCAGCCAAAAATTCAGTTTTTGATTCCACTTCTTGGAAAAGATAAAGGAGCGGTCCTGTCCCCCTTTTTTCACTCCCCATTTTATTTACTTTTATTTAATTAAATAAACGTTTAAAAGAAAGGAGTGTTTTAATTGGTGCAGCGGACCGCGACTCGCGGGTTGGGTTCGCCCAACTCGCGAGGCCCAACGGTCGCGCTTAGTCAAACATTAAATGGTGCTCCCAGGCGGTTCCGCCAAAATGTACAAAAATGTGTTTTAATTCGCCCAAAATTTTTTATTTTACCCCATCCATCAAATAAATTAACCCAAATTTTCTCCTTTTTTCGCGCAAATTTTCACAATTTATTTTATGGTTAATTAATCAAATAATTTTAATCTGGTTTTTTCTCTACAATAATTACTTCGCCACACCCAAACATTAAACTAATTAGCCCCTCCAAAATTCCTTCACACAAATTCCGCTCCGATTAAATACAATTCATTTCTCCTTTTTTTTATTTTATTTTAACCATTTCCACCTCTTCTTGCAAATATTTTAAGCAATTATCCGCGTCAAGTCTACCTCTAGGTTCGGTTTCTCGAATAAAGGTAAAGGTCTGCTTTCGATCCCCTAATCATTCGCTTTACCGAGTATAGTCAAATTTCAACAATTAACATTTATTTAACAATTTTTGCGATTAAAGGTTGACATTGCGAAATGGGTGAGAAATAGAGGGGAAATTACTAGATAATAAGGGATATTCAGTCTTGGGTTTCTTCAGCATTTTCTTGAATTTAAGCGCCACAAGAACGAGTAGAAGAAGGAGAGTGAGAGAAGTCAGTGCGAAGTTCAGGGGGTGCCAAACACTTTTCTCCGGGGCTGAATCTTCCAAAAATCGGGGCGCAGTAGGTGAGCAGAATGTCGGTTCTTCCCATAATTCAACACCCCAACAAAAGGTGGAACAGTTGTGAGCCGGAAGGCACGTTCGAGAGTTAAATTGAACTTGTTCCAAAGCTAAAATAGGGCCCTTTTTAAAAATTTAATAAAATAACCCCAATTCCCTGCTTAACCGTCCTAGATCCCATCGGCCAATGGTTTTAGGATCCCTTTAGGGCAAATTGCTAGCAAATAAAATAAAATAGGGTTAAGTATAATTGGGAGAGAAAATAATAAATTAATATTTTAAAAATTGATTTTAGTTTTGGAAAATTTCAATCTTAAAGTTGTTTGAAAGCTGGATAGTGTTGAACCTGAATCGGACGGATCTGAAACTGAAAAGGAAGATAATATCGAGTACCAAACACCCCGACAAAAGCGATACCAACAAATCCTGCAGAAAAGAGAGGAAATGTCTTTGGAAGTGGAAGGCGTTAAGAAGCGAGTGAAAAGTTTAGAAGAAAGTAGTGTCGAGAGAGGAGCGGGAGGACTACCGTATCCGAATTTCTTTAACGGAACGGAAGACTTCCTAACGTATCTGAAGGGGTTCAATAGGGTGGCGACTGCGCATGGTTGGCAGCCAGCGCGGTGCTGCCAGATTTTGCCAATATATTTGCGCGGCTCGGCGCTGGCTGTCTATGAAGGGTTGCCTGAGGAGGAAAAGGCAACTTGGAAAGGACTTGTTGAAGGATTAGCGAGTAGATTAAAGAGAATTTCGACAAGGGAAGTGGCGAGATTGAAGATGATGGAGAGGAAGCAAAAGGTGGGAGAGTCTGTGGAAGAGTTTGCGGGCGTTTTGCGAAATTTGGTGGAGTTTGCCTATCCCGACACCTGCTTGGAAATGGATTTAACGGGATTGACATTAGGAAATGAGGTGGTAAAAAATGTGAAGGGACAGCACGAAGAAATGGCTAAGAGGTTTAGGGACGAGCAGTGTAGAGATCGGCTGAGAGCGGGGCTGTTACCGGAGATAAGAGAGAAGGTGATTTTTATGGAGGAGCCAGTTTCGCTGGCGGAGGCCGTGACCCAAGCTAAAAGAGTGGAGGAATTGACAAACTCTCTCAAAGATGATGTTTGGAGGCGAACAAAAGAGATTGAGGTGAAAGCAACGCTCGCGGAGGTGAATGAGATTAGAGCCAATAGAAATAGGGAGTTTGTGAATATGAGAGAAGGGCAAAACAGCCAAGGCCAAAATTATCGCCAAAATAACAATTATAGAGATAACCAATGGAATAGAGGGAATAGAGGAAATTGGAGGGGACAATCGAACCGTTACTCGACATGGAACCAAGCGAACCGAGGCAATGGAAATTTTCGGAATTTTAACAACCAAAGGGGCCAAGGCTGGAATAATGGGCAAAATCGAAACCCGAACATGATCCCAACACCAAATTTTAGATCCAATGGACGAGGGAGAGGCACAAATTTAAATAGAGGAGGTTATCGGATTAATGAAACCAGTTTTCCCTATATTTGTTTGATGGCCATAATCTGCGGAATTTTGACGATAACTGAGGCCCAATTTCAAATATGCGCAAAACCATTTTCGGAAATTACGGGAATAGTGAAAGATTTCCCCGATGATAATAACTGTACGCTACCGATAGAAGAAACTCCGACACGCGCCAAAATAAATATTTTTGTCCCGATCAGATTACCAAAGAAATTTCAAGTTTTACGATGCCAAAAATGGACTATAAAAATGTGCACTGAGTCATATTTTGGAATATATAGAAAAGAGAAAAATTGGAATATTTATTTGGAAAAAATTTCAAAAGAGGAATGTTGGGAGACATGGGATAAACGGTTATTACAAACAATGGGAGAAAAAGTATGGCAGACACCTAGAAATTGGGAGAAAGAGCATTCATTTTTCGGAGAAAATTGCAAGAATGTGACGGGGTTGACTATAGAGGAAGGCACAGGCGCGATTTTAGAGGGAAGAAAGTTGGTGACTAGTTGGGGTGACGAGTTTTTAGTTGAAAGGAAGGACGATGAACTAGAAGGGTGGACTAAGCATTTACAGACAGAAGAGATATTGATATGGAGAATTCCAGGTTGGGCCTATTGGAATACACATTTCCGAGTGGGACCAGTAAATTCGGAAATTTGGGCGCAAAAAACGGTGGTTGTGGACGAAATGCAATACTCATTTGTTTATCATAAAAATGGAACTCACCCGGAAAATGTGTATGGATTACCCGAAAAAGCTTTAAGAATGGAAAATGATGTTTTTGTTGAAATATTAGAGGAAAATGGGGAAAATAAAACAAGAGTCAGAAGGCAAGGTGGCACAGGAGTTTTGAAGAAAAATAGACGGTTATTTGAAATAAAGACAACCATCCCAGTAACCACCACGGAGAAGCCTAGAGAAATGGAAACCACTCTTCGGGTAACTACAATAAGGAAAATAGTTAGTACTGAAACAAGTAAAATGACCACCCCGATCTGGAAAGTAACCCCTACAGCTAGAGCTACGACCCCAAGAGCAATAACTAAAGTAGAGACAGTAAAGACCACAGAAAGGACAAGAATTCAGACGCCAATCTGGAGAGTAACCCCGACCACGAGCAAGCCGACACAAAAGACGATAGTCCCGAATCCAAAAATAATCTCAAGCACACAACCAAGTACCACAAAGAGAATAATTACTCCGGCAAGAGGCACCCCGGTAAGAATAACCACCCCGAAAATGACTACAACGAGCCCCACTCCCAGAATGACAAGCACCACGAAGATAAATTTCGTAAAATCAACAGTTAGACCCCCATTTAAGCAGAAAGCCCTTCCAACAACTAAGAGACCACAGATGAGGGACGATGTTAAAATTCCTAAAGTAACAAATCCGGCAAGCAGAAATGCTAATATAATTGAGACGACGGAAAGGACGACGACCACGTTAGTGATGAAAAGAGATGTTTCAGATAAGCCTTGGCTCGACCCAAAAGATGAAAATCATGCAAATTCGAGATTAAATTATTTGGATTGGAAGACCGAACAGAGACGAGTACTCGAAGCAAGGGAAAAGTGGATCACAGATTGCCATAACCGAAACAGTCAATTATCTATCGCAAGGGCTCTAGCGAGAGAAATGCCGGAGCAGGCGGCGCGTTCGTTGTATAATAGGGATGACATAACGGCAACATTATTAAGTACGGAGGATGGAAAAATCAGATGGCAGCTAAATAAATGTAGGCAGGTAAAAGCCGATTCTATTGATTGGACTCAAATGGTAGGGAAAGATTGTTACAAAGAGACTCCAGTTACAGTAAATAAGAAAAGATATTTTTTGAAACCGGGAGGAAGAGATTTAATTAGTGAAGGGACACAAATAGATTGTTTAAAGAAAAAGAGGCCAAGTAATGACAAAAATGCAAATAAAACGAAAATAGAAGAATTAAATATAATTAGCTCATTCCAAACCAGTCCGCAAATAAACAGGCAAAATCCACTTATTTTTAATGTGGGGAGCATTTTCGAGTCAGACCAAACGAGATTGGACCAAAATATGCAAGATTTGACGAAAAGATTAAACCGGCCAGAGCTAACATTTCCGGAGGAAACAGAGACTGAATTTGAAGAGGAAAATAATTCCACAAAGGGGACAGTTCGAGCCATACTTGCCCAAGGGAATAAGGCGTTCCAAACAGTGGTGGAGCAAGGAAATGTCCTCATTGGAAAATCATCTGAAGTTCTAGAAAAGGGGAAAAATTTTTGGGAGGACCCTTTCGGAATTAAGTCGACAATAAAAATGATTTTGGCAGTGATCGCAGGCGTCGCATTACTGATTGGATTGTGTGTTATTTACTGGAAAGGGAGGATCTATATAATGTTAATAATAAACGGAATAAGGACTGGTGCAAGAATGGCAAATTTCATGATAAATTTACTACTACCCAGACGAAACCAACCAATTACAGTTTCAGCTGTTGAAAGAAGATTAACCCCCACGGCTCCATTAGCGGAAGAAGTACTTGAGGAAGAGGCATACATTTTAAATTTCATCCCGAAAGTATACCAAGTGACTTCAAAAAAGAGAAGATGCCATATAAATATAACCTTAAATGGGAATAAGACGAGAGCACTTTTTGACACGGGGGCAGACATAACCTATGTGAGTAAAAAGGTAGCTGATGCTTGCGGAATGAAGATAAATAAAGGAGATTTCCCGCAAGCCCAGGCCGCGAATTCAACACCCATTTTTCTTATTGGCTCAGCTAACACCTTTGTTGAAATTGGAAATTTTCGCACAACTTTCCCCATTTTAATTTCCGAAAATGAAGGATGTCCCGGAGGCGCAATTATAGGAACTGATTTAATGGAGGAGATAAATAAACAAGAGGACTATATGATTGGAATTGATTTTAAAAGAGGCGAAGTACATCTGGGAGGAACTTCGCTGCCCATGGTTCATGCCATAAATTCGGAGTGGAAACCGATGGCTGTCCAATTGTTAAAAACTCATTTACTACCAGCTTTGTCCGATTCATTAGTTTGGGGGAAAATAAATAAAGGAGCAGGTCCGGAGGAACAATTTATAACAGTTGAAAGGGAACACAAATACTTTCCAATTCGAGTGGGAAAATGTTTGGTTAAGCCAATGGCCAAAAGAATTGTTCCCCTCAGATTATTAAATTATGGAAATGCAGAAATTAAAGTACATGCAAACTCGAAATTAGCGAATCTAGAGCCCATATGGAGTGAGCTTAAAATTGAGACAGTGATAGAAAAAGAGGAAGCATTTATGACTGACGAAGAGTGGAAAGAGTTTAAAGAGAGAGTTGATCAAATACCTGAAGAAGCTAATTGGATAAAGAGATTGCCAGACGAGCCAATAAGTAATCCTGAGAAACCAATTTTTGAAAGGATAGTGTTGGATGGAACAATTTTGAGTAGAGAAGGATTGGTAGAATTAAAACAGATTTTAGAGACAAATAAAGATGCCTTTGTGAAAGAGGATGGAAGGATTGGAACATTTAGGGGAAAGACGGTTCACAAAATTGACCTAATGGATGGGGCCCGGCCCTTACAGAATAGACCGTATAGATACCCGCTGCATTTACAAACCGAGATAGAGAAGCAAATAAAGACATTATTGAAACAAAACATTATACGACCCTCGAATTCAGCCTGGGCGTCGCCGATAGTACTTGCGCGCAAATCGGATGGGAGTTATAGATTTTGTGTTGACTACAGAAGACTTAATTCCATAACCAAAAAACAGACATATTATCTTCCCCGAATTCAAGACTTGCTCGATTCAGCCATGGGAAAGCAAATATTTTCAGTGTTTGACATGAGTTCCGGATTTCATCAGATAAAATTAGCCAAAGGCCATGAAGAGAGAAGCGCCTTTATTTGTCATTGTGGACTCTTTGAATATTTGAGGGTTCCGTTTGGACTATCAGGAGCACCCACAACGTTCCAAAGGGCAATGGAAGAGGTCCGCCAAGCATGTTCGAGGAGTTTCTTAGTTTACCTAGATGATTGTATACTGGGATCAGAAGATGAGAGAAACCACTTGAATGATTTAAAGGCGTTTCTGCAAACCATAAATGAGGCTGGACTGAAATTAAAACCCGAAAAGTGCAAAGTGGGACAATCCGAGATTAGATATTTGGGACATTTAATATCTGCAAAGGGAATCCGAATTGACCCAAAGGATCTTGAACCGATCATGAAATTGAAAAAGCCGAATACTCTTACTGAACTGAGGTCACTGATAGGGATGCTATCTTACTTCAGAAAATTCACTCCTAATTTCGCTGAAATAATGAGCCCCATTTACGAATTGACAAAGAAAGAGAATACAAGAGAGTGGGAAGACATTCACGAAAAATCGCTAGAAAAAATGAAAAAGTTGCTTACGTCAGCGCCTATTTTAGCACCACCAAAATTAGGGAAGCCGTTCACCGTAGAGACTGATGCCTCTATAACAGCGATCGCCGGTTGTTTGTTGCAAAAAGGAAAAGACGAAAATTTGCACCCAATCGCATACTTTAGCAGAAAATTAAATAAACATGAAAAGCGATATGCGGTTGTCGAGTTAGAAGCGTTGGCCATTGTTGCATCTTTGAAAAATTTTAGACCCTACCTAGAAGGCGCGGGGAGGTCGACGGTGATCACAGATAACTCAGCCCTCACCTCACTTTTTCGGAGAAAGGATTTAGAAGGGAGACTAGCCAAGTACCAAATCTCGATCATGGCTTACGATGTGGACATTATCTACCGCCCCGGGAACAAAAACCATTTATGTGATCATTTGAGCCGATTTGTGGAAGATAATAAACGGGCAGGAAAAAGTGAAGTCAATTTAATTAAAATAGAAAAGAAAATTGATTCTGAAGAGATGAAAGCAGCGCAGGAAAAGGATGAGAGTATACAAGAAATAAAAAATTTATTGAAAGAGAACCCAGAGAATGATAAGTGGAAAGAATATGACGGAGTTATTTTCTTAAATGAAAGGGGACAGTTAAAGATATTAGTGCCTGAAACGCTTAAGGGAAGAGTGATGAAAGAGTACCACAGTGATATACTTCAAGGAGGACATTTGGGAGAAAAGAGGACTTTGGAGAAAATAAAGAGATTGATGTTTTGGGAAGGAATGGCAGAAGATGTAAACAAATTTATAAAGCAATGCGATTCTTGTCAGAGAAGGAAAATAATAGGTTTACACCAGAGTAGGGAACCGATTAATCCAATAGAACCGGCGGGGAGACCGTTCCAAAGAATCCACGCAGATTTAATGGGACCATTGCCAAAGTCAACAAATGGACATAAGTACATTCTTATGATTGTGGATGCTTTCTCAAAAATGATGATTCCAATTCCCTTGCGAGAACAATTAGCAGGAACAGTCATGGATGCCCTTTTGACAAATGTAATAACAAAATATGGGGCGCCGCAAGTGTTGGTGTCGGACCAGGGCACCCAATTTATGAGTACTATCTTCAAGGATGTTTCGGAATTGCTAGGGATAAAACTTCAGACGACGACGCCCTACCACCAATCAGCTAACGGTCAATGTGAGAGATACAATAGGACATTAGCTGATATGATTAGTACCACAACAAAAGGGAAAAACTGGCCCGAGACACTCCCATTTTTGGCTTTTGCATACAATACATCGTTTAATGCCCAAATCGGGGAAACACCGTTTGTTGTGGTTCATGGATGGAACGCGCGTTTACCCTCTGAAAATTTACTAAATAAGCCAGCTAATGAGTATGAAAATATAAGTATATATACAAGGGAATTAAAAGAAAAAATAAAAGACGTACATGAAAAAGTAAAAATTAAATTGCAAGCGAATGTAGAGCGAATGAGAAATCAGCAGAAAGTTATAAAGATTGTTGAGTGGAAAGAAGGGGATCTGGTTTTGACGAAGAGAGAGGATAAAGGAGGCAAATTTGATCACAAGTTCCAAGGCCCTTACAAAATAATTAAAGTTGAGAAACCGAACCTAATCCTTGAAGACCCCGATAGTGGAGAAAGGAAAACTGTGCACATGGATAAATGTAAAATATATAATTCTGAAAGAAACGAAGAGAGCGGCGCGACCTTTGAAAGCTCTTCGGGAAGCGAGAACCCTATTGACCCACCTCAAATAAATTTCATAAATTTTGAAGGATTTTCTAAACCAAATATTTGCAGATTATTATTTAAATTAAAAAATTATTTTATTGGGAAAATGGCAGCAGATATGGAAGAAGCTGTGGAACTGCTCCAGGAAGAGGAACTAGATGCTAACTACAGGTGGGAAGAAGCAGATAAAAATTGGGACCCCATAGACATGACAAGCAAGGAAAGGGATAACTTTGTAACTAGGAAGGAAAAACAAGAAGATAAAGCGATGGATAATTATACAAGAGCCTGGGAAAACCACAAGGAAGCCGAAATTGATAAGAGGAGAATAGAGAGGGGGAAGAGGCATGCCCTAAAAGAAATGATGACCGCTGAAAGAAACGCAGCGATTAAATTCGCGAAAAGAATAACGGGTGAAGCTTTTAGATCTGGGCAATCAAGAGAGGAGGAAGAAAGCAAACGAAGGGAAAGAGAAGTTGAAGCTTGGAACAGAGCATGGGGCTGGCCACCAGTAAATGATAAGAGAAGAGATGAAGAGAAGAGAAAACGGATTGAGGAAGAAATTACACAGAAAATGTTTGATAAATATGCCGAAAATAATCCCTGGGGAGAAGACGCAGGCATAATGGTAGAACCAGAGATGAAAGAGGGAAATCCAATGTTTGAAGAGTTGGTAAGATTGGCAATGAAAAATCCGCGAACGTTGAGTGAGTTAAGAAAGGATGTGGAAGAGGAAGAGTGGGAAAATCTGTTTTCAAAGCCAGGGGGAAGCCACTGGAGTGGAGGCGAAAAAGGATATGGGAGAGGAAGACGACCTTGGGAACCAAATCGTGATTGGAGAGGTAACTGGCACGCGCACACAAAAGAGAAGCAAGCAGAGAGGGGAGAGGAGGAAAAGAGTGAAGAAAAGCGAATGGAGAAGAAAAGAAAATTAATGATTGAATTAGAGGAAATGGACAAACAAGAAAAGGAAGAGAAGAGGAAACGCGAGGAAGAGAAGGAAAGAAAAGAGGCAGAGGAAAAACAAGAGGAGGAAGAAAAGAAACGAAAAGAGGAAGAGAAGAAATATGAAGAGGAAGAGGTGAGAGAAAAAGAAGGGGAGAGAAAAAAGGAGGATGAAGAGAAGAGAAAGGAGGATGAAGAAGTAAAGCAGGAGGAGACAAGGGACTTTGAGTTTGTGAGGAAAATATGGGAGCAAGAAGGAAAGGCGCATGGCTTATATTCTGAATTGCGCAAAATAAGAAAGCAGTTGGAGAGTGGAATGAAGGGGAAAATGCTGGAGGATTGGAAGAAACAGAAAACGAATAAGGAGAGAAATTAAGAGAGAAAAAATTTGGTGATGGGATAATTGTTAAATGGAATTTAATATTTTGTTAAAAAAGGAATTTAATATTTTATTTTGTTAAAGGGAATTTAATATTTTTCTGTTTTATTTATACTTGCTAACAACCCCTGACTTTGTTTTTCACCCGGAATTCATTTAACCCCACTTTAAATTTGTACTAGTATTTCTTAGAATTTTTCCCCAATTTAAAAATTACCCATAGCGGGGGACTCGGGATTTTGGGCATGCACACCAACGCAACAGTGCAACATCAGAAAGACCAGAAAGATAAACATCTTAAACCAAAAGTTGGAAATAAAATACAAATATTAAAAATACCAGAGAAGAATTTTGTTGTTGTTGAGAAATAAGATTTAAATATTTTTGGAAAATTGAAATGAAGGAGATCGAAAGGAATTGCGAAGGGAGCTAAAACTAAGTTGCAGCTGCAACAGGACGGGCCAGAATTGTGAAAGGAGAAATAGAATTTAAGAGCTTTCGAATGATATAAGGGAAGGTGATACAAAGAACGGAAAATTGGAAAGAAAATTAAGAGACAGATAGTTTAAGGGTGCAAATAGAGCCATCACCAGGTGCAAAAAAAGAGGGACCAGTAAAGCGGAAGATTACCAAAAAAAAGGAAAGGAGTTAAAGCAGAAAAATTTTAAATTTTTGAAAAAATAAAACAAGAAACCCACGACTGCCAACAACCAACAAGTCCATTACCATCCATTAGCCATTGAACCATGTTGAATGTTGACGGCATGTTAAAAAGAAAAAAAAAATTTAGGGCTTAAAAACAAAAAACAAAAACAATAAAGAGAAGTACTAACCGATAATTAGTTAGTTGAAGTCGATCATGGCGATAAACATCCTTTGTCATTAAATCCAACAATGGCAGCCAACATTACAATTTTTGAATAAATTTAGGAATGGCGAAAATAAAGGAAAATAAAAATTGAGAAAAGGAAAGGCATGTATGAGAAAAGTGACCCAATCAATAGGAAAGGAAGGAGAAAATGACCGATGGGAAAAAAGAGAGGAGTGGAAAAGACGCCCAAAGGAAAAGAAATAAAGTTTTATTTTTCGAGTTTTGGTTTGGTGGAATAGGACCCCGGAGTGTGCCGAAACAGATTTTAAAAAGCAGATGAGAATGCGAAACAGATTTTAAAAAGCAGATGAGAATGCGAAACAGATTTTAAAAAGCAAAAGATGAGAATGCGAAAAAGATTTTAAAAAAAGCGAAAGATGAAAATGCAAAACTAAAAATGAAAAGCGAACATGAAAGACGAAAGTCCAAAAAAGGCGAAAATATTGTGAAAGGCGTAAGATGGAAGGCGAAACGGCACACCCCTTGCCGACACCCAAAAAAAAATTCACAGGGAAGGATAAACTTTTAAAATCGAGAAAGTAGGGCGCGGATGTGGAAGGCAGAGGAGTATGCAATCAATAAAATCAAATGGAAGGGGGATTTGGACTAGAAAATGAAATTAAAAAAGAAAAGGGAGGAAGGAAAAACTAAAAAAAAAAAAAATTAAAAATTTGAATAAAATGAGGAAAAAGAGAAAAAATTGGCTTTAAATAGTAGAAAATTAGATATTTTGAAAATAAAAGCCCGCCATTTTTTTTACTGGAAAAAGGTCGCTTCAGCGCGAATTGAGTGCGAAATTTAGGATGTTTTGTCGCGAAACTCAGTGCAGTTATGGAAGGCAGTGGTCGAATGGTTATCACTGCTGTTGGTGTTAATTCTCAAACTGGTATTATAATGACTCTCCTTGGTGCAGCTAAGAATGCTTTAGAAGATGAACGAAAGGAAAAGCAAAAAGAAGAGAAAAAGACAAGAAGGAGGAGTAAAACATCAGGAGAGAAACTTCCGAACTCCACGTTGCCAATTGACGGAGATATTGGTCGACAACCTTCAGAAATTACAATAGATGATGGAACTAAACAGGCACTTTTGGAGAATAAAGAAAACATCAAACTTGATGGCTATAATGGCGCAGTTACTTCAACAGCAGCACAGACGATGAAAGAACAATTTGGATGGTGTCCCCCCCCCCCGTTAAGAATGTCATACTTATTAAAATTTTACCCCGCCTATTTTCAGCAAGTATAAATTTGGGGGACAGGACCAGCCAAAAATTCAGTTTTTGATTCCACTTCTTGGAAAAGATAAAGGAGCGGTCCTGTCCCCCTTTTTTCACTCCCCATTTTATTTACTTTTATTTAATTAAATAAACGTTTAAAAGAAAGGAGTGTTTTAATTGGTGCAGCGGACCGCGACTCGCGGGTTGGGTTCGCCCAACTCGCGAGGCCCAACGGTCGCGCTTAGTCAAACATTAAACCAACATTATTAAATAAAAAGGGTGAGTAAGCCTCAATCTCCAAACTTAAATAGAATTTAAATGTCACTCAAAAACTGGTTTTGAATAAATTTCTAAAATAAAAAATCTGTATATTCCTTCAATAATATTATACATTCATTTCAAAATAAAATTTCCAAACAATCAATAATTGGCCATATTTTGGGCCAAAGTTTGTGTGTAAAAATAAAATAATTAGCAACAATTTATTATATGAAATTTTTGATATTTCACTAATATGTTGAAAAATACATGATAAAATTAAAATAAAGAAACATTCAAAAATTTTGTTTATAGCTGAGAGAGTTCTGGATAATACAGTAAAAAGCAGAGCCCGGACCGAGACGAGATTTTGATCGAAAAATCTCGGTTCGAGATTCCCAGTCCGAGCCCTAGTAAAAAGAATGGAGTTAAAAAGATAGGTTGATGTTTTCTTGTGCAAAAGCCTTGCTAGTACGGAGGCGGAAAGACAAAGAATTCTGATGTGAGATCCTTGGCCTATACCCAATGAAAATAAAAGCACTGATCAAATTTTGATAAAATATTATTTTGATCTGTTTGGATTTACTCTTTAGTCTAATTATAACTCTCGACTCTAATAAAGATAAAAAATGCGAACACTCATTTATGTAAAAAATATTTTTTTATCAGAATCAAATAAATATTAACAAGTGAGACAAAAAATTAGCAAAAAGGACAACAAAGATAGGTAAGTCAAAGAAAAATATATTATCATGATTAATTATCAATTATTAATAAATTAAAATATTATTTTTACCCGAAATAAATTTAATTTTTACCAATAATCATCACACTTTTTCGTATTTTTTAAGAACTCGTCTAGCTTTTGAAAGACTACACAATTTTTGTTTTGCAGTTAAAAACCAAAGACCGTTTATAGCTTGTCTAAATTAAATTAATATACAGTTGAAGCTCACTTTTAGATACTAAATAATAGAAAACCTCGATTTAAGATATTTTGACTTGGGTTGAATAGGTCAGGTTGATATAAAAAAATTAAAATAAGTCTGGGACCAGGGTTGCCGCGGGTACAAAAAATATTCGGGTACGGGTTTCGGGTATCGAGTTGGAGCGTTTTCATTTCGGGTCACGGGTTTCGGGTTGGCAAAAATATCGGGTACGGGGTTTGGGTTTGAAAATTTTCTTTTCGAGTATCGGGTTTCGGGCGGCAACCCTGGTCTGGGATTGTCTGGGAAATTCCAAGGTCAAAAAATACGGGTTTCGGTTAACAGGACCAATCCTAGCTAGATAGACGATACTTCCAATTTACCTCATTATAAGATGAAAAACTTTCGCCCCAAGGAGATGTGTTTTAAAGCGAGGCCTCTCTATTAAGAAAATTTTCAAAATTAATTTTTTATTACCTAGCCATTTTATTATGCACTCCAACATAAAAATTATTATTTACAATATAAGGCCAATGCCCAAATTTTTTAGCAGCTCTAAGCCTTTCTGTTTCACTTAATTTAAGCCAGGCACCATCGGCTATATCTGACCTATCAAAATCACGACAGACAAGTCCAGAATATTGACTAAAACATAATTGGTTAAGGACATCCTTAAATTGATAGAATGATAATTAATTAGGGGATATCCAAAAGAAATGGACTCAGTTCTTTAAATATTTTTGAAACAGCTTCGGAAACCTGGGGGCTTTTGGAAAATCTAGGAACTGAACTGCGGAACCGTATATTGACCAGTTACGTATCCCAGACTTCCTTATAATGTTCATAGTGCCAAAGATCATCTCATAGAGGTATTTCGTATTTCATAATTGAATGCCCGAGCATTATACATATTTTCCAATCACCTTCCAAAGGGGTAGTTCACTAGACAATTAGACTAGGATTAAAAATTAAAAAAATCCACCTGATCCATCAAGGAAATCGAAGAATTCTCTCCATTTAATAATTTATTCATCCTTTGCAAAGCCAATATAGTAGCATTTGTTGCAAAAGCAAACATTGGATCAAAAGCAAATCTCTGCCCTTTAATAGTCCCGCTTTGAGAATTTAAAGGCAACACTAAATCCACATCATCCAATGAATTTAGATTTGGAAATAATTCTTCAAATGGATTCCTTAACCAAATAGCATCGCTTTCGGCCAAAACAAAAGGAATTGATTCCTTACAAAATAATTTTTAAAAAATATTACCTATTTTAGTTTATTATAGAAATGAAGGGATGCTGAACAAAAGTTAAAGATTATCCATCCATGACTGCCAACAAAACGGGGATGGGCCCGCTCAAATTTAAAAAAAACGGAAGTGGAAGTGTCAAAAAAGATGAATTAGTAGTATAAGACGGTATCGAAAGAGTTACATCCTTGCTACAAAAGTGCAAGGATCTCTCACAAGCAGGATCGCTTCCAATAACTCTCCTTAAATCTCTTCAACATCCTACACGTGGGCTGGGATATCCCTCATCCCCTGCTTATGGGTATTTTATAGTCTAAAAGTATACCATAATTTTCCCTCGGAACTTAAAATATTTATTGTCCCAGATCCATTTTATTCTTTTCAATTAAGAAAATTTTTTTTAAAAATCACCTCTCCCAATTTTGATAGTAATTGTGCACGTGCATTAAGTATTTGCACATAACGTAGTCTACCCCAACTCAAAGGTTCGTCCAAAGCTTTTTGTTCTTCTACATCAATTTGTGGATGTTTCACATTTTGTGAGTCAAATAATGACAAACAAGTAACCGAAAATTAATTAAATAAAAAATTTTGTCCAACATCGCTATAAGAAATCCCCCTTATACTATTTTTTAATAAAAAGTTTAATAATAATTTTTAATATAAGAAATCCCCCCTACGCCGGCGGAAGACGCTGTTTTGTGGTTACATAAAATCAGCGTTTTGACGCTTTGCGTCTTCTCGCTTAGCGGAAGACGCCGATTTTATGTAACCACGAAACAGCGTCTTCCGCCGGCGTCTTGACGCCGAGCGTCTTCCGCCGGCGTCTTGCGTTTTTTATGTAACCGTAGCATTAAGCACCAAAAATTCGACATTATATCGAGCTTCAGAGTAAGAAAAAATTAGAATCGGTGTTTGAAATTTTCTTCAAGACATGTTTCAGGTCAAAGAGAGTTTTGGTTTAAATTACTGGCCCCGCTTTGAGAATAACCCCGCTTTGCCCGGCCCCGCTGCTAAGGAGGTAAATAGGGGTTAACGCTTAAAAACGGGTTAACTTAAATTTTTGTGAGGTTCAATTAGAATATATCTCAAAAGTAAATTTAAAATATACTTGGGGCCAACTTTTGATGATTTGCGAACATATTTTGCCTGAATCCAACCCAACAAATAAAGTAACATTTAATAACTCAATATTTCCCTCATTTAAATTAATTAGCCTCTTTTTATTATTCTTCCCAATTTTTTTAATTTTTGGAAGTCCATAAATATTACAAAGCCAATTCATTGTTAATTCTAAATAGGCCTGATTTAAAACTCCCCCAAACAGTATAAAATTGCCAGGCAATGTACTTTTTTGTTTCAACATCTTCGCTGATTTTTTGAATTTCTGGAATAAAAAATACGAAAATTTTAGAGTATGGAGGCAGTTACGATTTTTTATTTTAATTTCCTATCAAAATCAACACAAGAATAGGGAACGAACCAAGTATGTTCAGTAGGGTTGTACCTCGTCCCCGAAAGTTGGGGAATCCACGGTACTGCATGGATATATGGAGCAGAAAATTTATCCAGATATGGTCATTAAAATTTGTAACCGTAAACATGCCTGATCGGAACAACAACTTAAATTACCTAAATTATTTCTAAATTTATATTATTGGTAAGAATCGGGATTTGATCCCGGGTTCCTTGTGGTTTCCTTTCAGTTCCAATTCCCGTCTCTAGGTCTTAGCTTTTTTTCCAAAACTTCGATCCTTACTCTATAAACTTAAAAACTTAAAAAATATTATCATTCCCCTTCTCTCTAAGAAGTATTTTCAGCTATTTTTAAACATTTAATTTATAGTAGAGGTACTTACATTCAAAAAAGACTGACTTATCGGCAATGGTTTAATTGGCTTTTTTAAATTCTTTGTCGGCATTTCTCTAATTTTATATTCAACATTATGATTTTCTTTATTTAATTTTTTAGATTTTTCTTTTGTTGTTCCAACAAAAAGTAATCCATCACTCATTAGTAACGGTCCGTCTGGATGTTTTTTACTGGGAGAGTCAGTTGCATAACTTTAATTTGACTTTAAAATAAATGGGTCATTCATATAGGTTATTAGATCATTTTTAATAATATTTATGGGACTACTAGGAAGACAGTAAAATAAGATAGGAGATGTTCTCTTAGGCTCTTCCCTTTTAATTTAAGATTATGTCCATCCATGTTTTCTTTAAGTTGGACCGTGGATCAAATCGTAAACCTAACAACGAAAATTAGCGCTTGATCAAACGCCTCAAACTTTTAACTCGAGTCAAAGGCAGCAATTCTAATTAATTTAAATTAAAGTATTTAATAGGGTTGGACAAAACCGTTTAGCTAAACGGTAAACGGTATACGATAAACGGGTTGATCAGTTCAGAATCCCTTCTATGACCCGATATCAAACCTTATATCAAACAAATTCACTTATACCCCACCGATAATCCTTAATAACTCCTAACCCTCATAAAATTTTCGGCTCGGTCTCGGATAACCGGAAATTTGCGGTCCAGTTCCGGGTATCCGAAATAGGGATGATCAAAGGAATGATCAAAATAAGAGATTTTTTGATTTTTTTAAATTATGAATTGTTTTTAAAAAATTTTAAAAATAAACGGTAAACGGGCGTTTAAACGGGTTCTAAAAATTAAACGAAACGGTATACGGGTCTCAGATAAACGGCATAAACGGTATACGGTTTTTTCAAAATTAAACGGTTTTGTCCAACCCTAGTATTTAATTTAATAAAAATTATTTTTTAATTTAAGGTGTGTTTGAATATCTCTAAAAAGGAATTTCCCCTAGGATTAAATAAAATTTTCAACCTTAAATCATCTGGTCTAGGAGGCATCCATTCTAAATCTCTCCGATAAATTAAAAGCAAAATGTGGAGAGTAACAATATAAAAAAATAAAATAAATACACACAATTTGCAACAAAACCAACGATTTTTGTTGCCGAAATTAAAAAATAATGTTGACATCCTTAAATATTTAAAAATTTTTCAAGATTTTAATTCTGTCCTATAAATGAGTGTTTCTCATTGTTTTCTGAATTTTCCGGTATTCAATTCTGATTATTTCTTATTTTTATATATTTGTCTGTTCCTTCCGGAAAGCTTTTATACCAGAAAAACAACCGGAAAACTAATCAGATTTTATCATTAAATATTAATAAGAATCCGGTTAAGTTTTCAGGTATAAAAGCTTTCCGGAAAACACAGCAAAATACATAAAATTATTATAATTATATTTAATAAGATCCGGAAAAGTGTTCCGGAAAGTTTTATTTATCTTGAGAAATAAATAAATTACTTTTCCGGAAAGTTTTATTATTATATTCAAATATTCTGCTTTAAATTTTTCCGGAAAATAATAAAAATCCGGAAAAATTAAATTCTGATCCGGAAAGTTCTCTTCTTTTTACAAACTATTTCCTTTTGGAGAAGAAAAAAACTTGTATGTATTAATAACAAATTTATGATCGTAATATTAGCGCATTTAGTAATATAAAAAGCTTTGCAATGTAAAAGCAATAAATTAAAAATGCTAAAGAAAAAGATGCGGAAATAAAAAAGCGAGTTGAGAGAATGATTATTAAAAATGAAAAAAAATTTGGAAAAAATTATTCTTTGGTGAAAAATTAATTGAAATTTAGTTAGATTTTGATTGTTAAATTGTCTGGAAAAATAGAAATTAATTTAAAAAAATTCAGGTTAAGTTTCTTAATAATTGAAAATTTAGTAGAAAGATCAGGGTGATCATCAAAAAAATTTGGTGTAAAAATTTGAGTAAATTAGCTAGCTTTCTTAAGGTTTATAACAAAATTTTTTTTAATTTCTTAAAATAAATATTTATTTAAAAAAATTATCAAGTCATTTTAAGAAAATAAAATCAAAAAATAATTTTTTTAGTTTTATAAATAAAATAAGAAAATCGAGAAAGAGCACACACAAAACAACTTTTCATTTTTGTTGTTCAACATCGCCGATACCCCCTTATATTACTCGCGCAAATCAATTTATTTTTTACTTTTTAACTTTTAATGTAAGAAATGGGGGAGTAGAGTTAAAATTAGTTAAGGTAAAATTGTGTGACCATTAAGAGTAAGGTTGGCTGATCCGGATCCGAAAAAAGGCCGGATATCCGGAAATTTTGGATCCGAATCCGGATATCCGAAGATTTCAAAATATCAGCCAACTTTAATCAACAGACACCGATTTGTTTGAATTATTGTTCTATATCTTTAGTAAAAGCTTGTCGAACTGAGTCGAATTCATCCAGCCCAAAAAGTGACTGATTTTTGTGAAAATCAAAAATTTAGAAAAAAAAACTAATTTTATAGACTAATGTGTAATGTTCACTCATGAAACTAATCATCGAAAATACCATACCTTTGCACAGATACGGATAATATCCGGATATCAGCGATATGTCAGGATACGGACGGATATGGATAGTGTTTTTTTAAAAATCGGACGGATACAAATGGATACTGATATGATGCTCCAAATCCGCAGATATCCGCCCCTAATTTTTGCGACTAAACATCACTAAAATACATTTTACCAATAAAAAATAATTATATTCGAAACGCGTAAGATCATAAATTTGGGTTCGATCCCTGATCTGACAAAGAGACCTTAATGTTTCATTTTTACTTTAATTTTGTTCGTGGCGTAGTAAAAGGAAGAAATCTTGCTTGTTGGCCTTCCAAAATTCTCAAAAAATTCGAAATCAACGGTTCAGTTAATCGAAATTTTTTTAACACCCGCAGAATTCACTTTTTCAGCGCAGAAGACAGAAATGTTGAGAATTTCGGAAGGCCGAGAAGTCAGATTTTTTTCCATTTTTCTTTCAATTTTGGAAAAGTTATCAGAAGAAAAAACGTCGGAAATAATACAAAACGGGACTGATATTAACTCTCGGATATATCTGGATACGTATTTCAATATCCTTGTCCATGCACAGGTCTGGAAAATACTAAACGAATGAAAACATTTTGATAATATATCGTATCAGAGATGGGTCGGGTACTCGGAACCGGACCTGAAAATAAAATCCCAATGTACGAAAATCTTTAAATGTCATTGTTCTCATCATGCTAGTCTAGCGCTTTTCCCTTTCCTTTGCCTGGAAATTTTATTAAAATTTAATTTTATAATTATCAATCATGTAAAGCATATAGCTATTTATTTCCTAAGGCTGTGCAGTAGACGGCATGGTGTAATGGATAACACATCAGTCCGAACTACTTAAGATGCTGGTTTGCTCCCAGCCGCAGGTTAACCTTTTGCACAGCTGAAGGAGAGAAATAGCTAGAGCTGCTTTATCATAAAAACCTTCTGCGGCTGGTCGTGTTATGCTTCCTCGGCGTCGATTGCCTCGTTGACGAGAACTTCCACCTAAATTTATCATTTAATTCAATCTATTTATTTAAATATTTTGGCAAAAATAAAGATAATTTTTACCTTGATTAGACCCTGATCCTTGATTGTGTTGTCCTGAATTATAAACCATATATTTATATATTTTAGCATAGCTAGGCTGCCGGGGTAGTATATAATTTTGGGAAGTATATAATTAAACAAACATCCCACATTCAAATTACTTTAAAGCTTGTTTTTGTTTCGTTCGATTTCAAAGGAATTTACAAAAATGACTGTTGGACATTATGGTGTTATTAAAAAATCAGACATAGGAGAGTTGTTGGATAATAATTTTTTCGACAAATCGTTAGGTACCTGAGCGTCGTCGACGAGCCTCTTGTCTTGACTCCTGTTGAGCTTGTACAGGGTGACAAGAAAGAAATGGGGCACACATTTTATGCCATAACTTTATTTAAATTAGAGCTAATGGGATCAACGCAAGCTTATATGATAGAGAATTAATCAAGGAACAGATATTATCAAAAATTTTCTAAGTGCCCACCCTTTTGCCGGAAATAGAGTTGAATGCGCGCGGAAAAATTTTAGGCAAAAGTTCGCAAGTCAGAAAAATTTTTTTCAGACGGAAATTTTTTTAAGAACGGAACATCTCGAACTAATAAAAATGACAGATGTTGTGCCCCAAAGTCTCCTTTTTCTGATCCACTTGTTACTGATTCCCAAAACTTTTCTTCTTTAAAGATATAGGATGTTATTTGCAAACTGTCAAAATCCGTTGATTTTAGTGAATCCTAAGGGGTTTCGTGAATCTACGGGAAATCCTTCAGGGTATTTTACAGCCTTGGGTCCGAGGATACTTTCGACGTAGGGAACGGATCTTTTTTCAGAATTCTTCCTCAGCTCATAAGGCTAGAGTAGTGCAAGGTTGATCACAGCCAATTTACCATGTTTTAACACGTCTTAAATATTGCCACCGTACTCATTGGATTTGAATCCGATGGATTACTCCCTTTGATATTTTTGAGGTAACTGTCTGTTATTAATAACCCAAAAGTTTAGAGTCGATATTGCAATCACTCGTCCGGGAATGAGAGAAAATCTCACCCAAGGTGGTGCGAACTTTTGCCTAAAATTTTTCCGCGCGCATTCAACTCTATTTCCGGCAAAAGGGTGGGCACTTAGAAAATTTTTGATAATATCTGTAACTTGATTAATTCTCTATCATATAAGCTTGTTTTGATCCCATTAGCTCTAATTTGAATAAAGTTATGGCATAAAATGCGTGCCCCATTTCTTTCTTGTCATCCTGTAAAATCACTGAAGAATAAAAACATTTATATTTAGACAAAATTTAATAAAATACTCTCGTTTTCCTCTTCTTCATTGCGAGCATATAAATCTTGTGGAATTATTGCATCTTATCATTAAATTTTGTTATTAATTTAAAATAATTAGATTTATATTTGTGAGATATTATAACCCTAATCCCGGACCAGGAACAATATTAGTTTAAATCCCAGACTCAGATTCCTCATCTCATCTTTCAGACTTCCATCTCCTTCACATATTCACTTTAACAAAGGCTTTTAAATTAAGCACATTAGTGATCACTAAAGCTGTGATAGTTAAACAAGTAAAATCAGTGAAATAGGCGCCTAAATTAGGCACCAAAAAGCCAAAAAAGGCACAAAAATAGGCATGTAAAAAAGGTTATCAGGCCTATAAAATTAAGAAAAAAGCAAGAAAATACCCATTTACTCATCATTTTCTGTATTATAAACTACTTATTAAACTCTTTTGCCATTTAAACGACATTTTGAATCATTTTTTTGAAAAATGGAGTAAATTTTTTTTAAATGTCGATAATCGACAATATGGAAATCTCGTCCAACACACAAAACGCCGCACCCCAAAACGTCACAAAACCAAATCGTCCCAGTTCAAAATGTCCAACAAAGTAAAAATAAACAATTTGACGAACTAAAAATCAATAATGGGACTATGCACTGATTTTTTCCAATTTTGGTCTGATTTTTTTAGATTTTGCACTTATTTTTAGGCAAAATTTCGAAAAAATCGCTAAAAAGGCAAAAATAGTACCAAAAAATTCAAAATAGGCAAGAAGGCACAAAAAGTCCAAAATAGGCAGAAATAGGCAAATTAAAAGTCGTGCTAGACTCTTCGGACCAAGCTGAAAACACGTTTTTTGAACGTATTACATCATCCCAAGCTTGCAGAAAAAATAGGCATTTGCCTATAAATCACAGCCTTAGTGATCACTTTCCTCCCGACTTTAATTAGTTCCCGGAAGGTCTCCTTCCCTATGTATTGCAATAATTTGTATATTATTTATGGAAATTGTAATTTAAATATTATTTTTAAAATTCAAATAAATACTTATTCTAAATAGAAACTATTATTCTACATAATATTTATTTTTAATAAAAGTATTTGATTTAAAACATAAATTTTCAAATCCCAATTTGAAAAGTTAAGTTTACTTAAACAAAAAATTTCTATTTTTAACAAATGGTTGTTAAATTCATGTCGATCAGATTAGGTGTATAACGGAATTTAATTGTTTTAATTTTCGAGTATTAACCCCTCCACTTTTAAATAAATTTTTTATATTTATTCATTTTAATTAAAAATAAAGACCTTGATCTTCGTCTAAATTTGTGTCAGAATCTTGATCTGTGACATAAATGTCCTTTCCAAATAATCTAAGATGAGATTGATGAGGCGGCAAACCTTCTATAAATATTTATTTACATATACCGTATTTCCTAAAATAGTACGGCCTGCTAAATTAGTACGGCCCCCTGAAATAGTACGGCCCTTTGGAAGAGGGTTGAAAAATAGTACGGCCCCCTAAATTAGTACGGCCCCCTGAAATAGTACGGCCCCCATTTAAAAAATATAAAAAATAGACAAATTTTTTTTTAATCATAGTAATTATTCCTCGCAATATTTAACTACTAATTTATTGAATCTTAATATCTATTGGTATAGAAATTGGAGTGCTTAAGAGGATATAGGTGGATTAATGGAGACTATGTTGGATTTGGAAGGATATTGTAGATTTGAAGTAATTTAAGTATGGATGAATTTAAAAGGATTAGTTGGAATCAAAGTGAATAACGAAAGCTTTTTGTACTAGGAAGTTGGATTGACAACCTTCTATCTAAAAATTAAGGGCAACTCAAAACATGCTAGTATCACCTAAATCAGTATCGGGATTTGAGTTAATAATACCAATACCGGCTCGGGATTGGGATTTAAAAATCGGTATCGTTGAAGAAGTAGACAGATGCACAGATGTCATTATAGACGGGGTCTTAAATAATTTTTAAGGTCTGCTAATTTCATGTTTGGAACACGCTAATGATTTGGGATAATTTCCGAGCATACTATTGTGGATACGGCTCTATATGAATGGAGTGCTCGGATGGAGTGCCTTAGACCGCCTCGGAATGGGGTCAATTTTCCTTAGTATTTGATGTTTTTCATAAGGCAAAACTTGTAAAAATATTTTTTTCTCGGCTTATTTTGTTGGTTGAGTAGAAAAACTCGGTCTTACAAAACTCGGTCGAGACAATTTGTCTGTTGTTGTTTTTCTGTCCCGTTAGCTAGCCTGACGCGAAAATAAAAAATTAAAAATAACAGCACTCGTCCCAAAAGACCCCAAACAAATTGGATCGAGTTTTGTTAAGACCGAGTTTTGCCACTCACACAACAAAATAATCAGAGGAAAAATTATTTTTTACACAGTTTTGCCTTATGACAAACATCAAATACTAAAGAAAATTGACCCCATTCCGAGGCGGTCTAAGGAAGTAAGGAAAAATGCGATCCGAGCACTCCTTTCATATACATTCGTGGATAATATAAAAAAAAACACAAAAAAAATTCAGATAATTCTGAAAAAGGGTTGAAATATAGTGCGGCCCCCTAAATTAGTACGGCCCCCTGAAATAGTACGGCCCTATGGAAGAGGGTTGAAAAATAGTACGGCCGGCCGTACTATTTTAGGAAATACGGTATGTATATGTAAAATTCTAAAAATATGATTGTGTCATAATTATGGGCAGAGTGTATAGGCGGAGACCGGGATATTAATAAAGTACCGGGGAAATAAAGACTGGCAGGACTGGCATATTGACTAAATTTCAATGAAAAAATTTCAAAGAAAAATCTCTTTAAAATGTTAAATGTTTTTTTATTTTTTAAATATGCCTTGGAAACCTTATATTATAAACCTATATTTGTGAGTATAAAAGACTAAAAGGCAAATCTAAATTTAATTTTCATTAGAAGTTTGCCTTCAATTAAATCACCTTCATTTTCAAAATTTTCTTGATTTGTTGTAAATCCTTCTTGATGTGGGTATCCTGTATAACCAGAATGTCGTGGCCCTCCTTGGTGTGTGTAAGCTGAATAGTCAAAAGGTTGATGTCCTCCGGATTGGTATGCGGGATAACCAAAATTTTGTTGACCTCCTTCTGGAATGTATTGAGGATAATCTCCCTCGTGTAGATTTGTTGCATGACCAATCTTTAAAAAAATAAAAGTACAGGGTGTTTCAGATAAAAAGCACTATTTGAAAATTCAATAACTTTTTAGTACGTGGACAGATTTTAATGAAATTTGATATTTAATATCTATATTTTATGGCATTTTTTTTGACATAAAAATTATGTCTAAATTCGAACCCTAACCCTGTATTTCAATTTCGTTTCAATTTCGTACTCTATCGTTCTCTTTTTTCCCTCTTTTCATTGTGGGCTATCTACTTCATTTATTTTCCTGCGTATGGCGAAGAGTGGATACTGTATTGAAAATGCAGTGTCTATCGACTAGTGTTTACTCTAGTGTCTATCGCCGCTCAAAAAAAACAAAAGGGAGTAAGAATGCATGTGCGGAAAAAGGGAAAAACAGAACGGTAGAGTATAAAAATATCTCGGGTTAGGGTTCGAATTTCGACATAATTTTTATGTCAAAAAAAATGCCATAAAATATAGATATTAAATACCAAATTTCATTAAAATCAGTTCAAGCACTAAAAAGTTATTGAATTTTCAAATAGTGCTTTTTATCTGAAACACCCTGTATTTTAGATAAACGGTTCAATGTTTTTATTTAATTAGAATTTCTCTTTTAAATTATAGCCTTCTCTCTTTACTTATTATTTTATTGCTAAAATTACGTCATATGTATGTCTCGGAAAGTCGAAAAAAACCTGAGTACTTATCTCTAAATATTTAGGCTGAATACAAATTCTGAATTGTAGAGCTCTATTTTCCCAATAGTTATTCATCGGAAAAATTTATCAAATATTCAAATAAAAAATATTCTTACAACAGCTTCATTATCAGCATTACCAACTTTAAGTAGAATTACATGTACGAATTTAGAATGAGAATCTAGGCACTTACTTAATTTTTTAATTTGCGTTAAGGATTAAGAAAGCAATTCTATCAACTATTTTTGGACTGTTTATAAAGGTAAATTTTAAGAAGCTGAATAAGTGGGAGTGAATAAGACTGCTTTCTCTCTCACTCTTCCCTTCACCCCCCCCCCCCCCCCCCATCCATTGACAAAAATTAAGATTAAGAGGACATTTCACCAAATATGTTATTTTTAAATTTTGTTTTTAAATATTTATGCTACAGCTATTCGACGATGCACTTATGCTAGTAAGAAACCTTCATTATTATAACTTTATAAATTCTCTTATATTTTGGCAAACCTTAGCAATATAGTTAGTTATCGTAACTCGCAATTAATCTATGGACGTTACATTTATAAGCTCATCAAAGTTTAGTCCTAAACAAATAAGTAATTGGATTTGGAAACTTGATCCGACAAATATAATATAACATCCTGGTCCATAAGATATTAACATGTCTCTTACTTAATAAATTGGCCCTAGGCTTTGTTCAATTTTCCTTTTACCGAGTTTTAAATTTGATTCGTTATAAATAATAAAGATTTACAGCTAAAACTTCATTTACCGAATAATTTCAAAATCTAGTCTGTAAAATATCCGACTATTTTCCGTCAAATGTATCTTTATCGACATTAACGCAAAATCACATGAATCAAGTCTTGGCAAGTCATAATTAAAGTGCAGCGCATTTTCATCTCTCTCTCTTCTCTATTTATTTCTCTTAAATCCTTTCTCTCCTCCGATTTTTTACATAGAGATGGGATGGACATATTCACTTATTCACTCTCACTTATTCAGCTTCTTAAAATTTACCTTTATAAACAGTCCAAAAATAGTTGATAGAATTGCTTTCTTACTCCTTAACGCAAATTAAAAATTAAGTGAAGTCCTAGACTCTCATTCTAAATTCGTACATTTAATTCTACTTAAAGTTGGGCGATGTTTATTGAAATAACCGAGAGAGGATTATTATTGCATTATCGGCCCCCATTTTTATTATCTTTATCCTTACTTAGAAAATATTTTTTATTAGATTGATAAAATGACACTCTATCACATCAACTACTTCTCTAGAATTCGAACTCAGAAACTTTCCTTAAATTAACTTGAAAACATATAATCCCTCAAATCACCTTATGTATATTCCGTATATACACTTTAATTAAATAAAATCTCCCTTGACTAAATTTCCGCCGCTGTATAATTTTCATTGCTTATACATATTGCTTTTCTAAAAAATATAAACAAAATATTTTTTAATTCTAAAATTATTTAAAACAATTCCAGCAAGCAATGAAGCTTTCGATATTTTTGCTTTTTTTCTTATTTTTTATACTTGATCTTGTTAATTCAACTAAAAGAAATTATGGAAAGGATGTGCAACATAATTTCAATCCTTCACGATACCGTGATGTCGAAACAAGTGAACCAGAAACTAGTGGTCATGTAGAAACTGGAACAGGAAGCATGCCCTCAAATACTGAAGGATACACTCAAGAAGTGAATCCTTCTGGCCTAGAAACTTTTCAAACTTTGTCAAATTTGAATCAAGATTTAGGCAATAATCCGTTTTTATTTTCACCTCAACATCAACAAATGAATGTAGGAGGACAAGTGTTAATCGAAAACCAAGGGTTAATAGAAATAATTTATTTTAATTTAAAAAATTAAGGAATGGTTATTCTGCCAAATGTGAATGGAACGGATGTGGAAGAGTTTTTAATAATCAAAATGATTTTGTGGAGCATGTTAAAGAACATACAAAAAATCAAAAGGTCACTAATTATTTGATAATAATCATTTTCCTGCTTAATAAAGACCGTGAAAATGCGCTCTCTTCATTACCCTAAAATTTTTAGTTTACATTCCTGTTTTACTTTGTTTTATTTAAAGGGTCCCCATCGCAACTGTTTCTGGTCTGGATGTAATGGAAAGTCTATTTTCTCAACAAATTTTCCACAGCATATTAGAACACATACAGGAGTAAAGCCTTATGTTTGCGAGGTATTAACTTCAGAAACCTTTTAGCTAAATTATAAAATATTTCTTTGCAGTATGTTGATCAAGATGGTGTTAGTTGTAATAAGGAATATTCTTCTCCGCAAAATCTTAAAATTCATCAACGTGAGCATACAGGAGAAAAAATTACGTACAAATGTGCTGATTGTGATAATGTAATTACATAATTATATATTTTTTAAATTTAGGTAATTTTGTTTTATTGGGAATGAAGAGGAATTTATTGAGAACTTAAAAAAGACAAATCAAATTTCGTTACTAGAATATTCTTCGGACCGCGTTTCGAGACAAATAAAACTTGGAACAGATAAAACCATAGAATCTTGTTAATAAAACCCAGTTTTCAATGTACAAAAAGGTTGAATAAATAGATGGGTAGCAGGGATGGACTTATTTCGCACTTTCACGTTCGCATCTTTCGCATTCTCGCATTTTTTGGCGCGAAAAATTTCGCATTTCGTTTTTTATAATATTTATACATTTCGCCCAGCCCTGATTTATACTAAACTTTTAAAAACGTAATTACATCCTTCAATCTTCTTTTATTTTAATAAATTTGTTAGAGGACAATTTTAAGTAGTGAATAAATGGATCTGTAGATAGAGCTCATTGAGCATTCCGTACATTTCCGAACTGTCAAAAAATTTTTATTATTTTTTTGCTCTATCTTGTAGAGCAACGAAACTTTTAAAAAGAAAAATTAATTTTTAAATTTTCTAGACTTTTTCAAGTATCAGTAGCAAAACTAAACATGAAAAAGTACATAAAGATGATAACTATTATAGATGTCCAGTATTTATGTGTTCTAAACCATTTAATAGTTCGAATGCACAGAAATATCATGTTTGCAAGGAACATGGAAGATATGTTTGGGATTTTATTATAAAAAATAAAAGAGAGAAAAAAGCAAAAAATTATGGGGTAATTGGAATAAGGGAAGATGGAACTCCTTACGCGTTAGTTTGTTTTTTCCATAAAATTTTGGATATTTTGTAAGTTTATTTAATTTTTTATTTAAGCAAAACACTAACGATCTGAAATTTAATAAATTTCAAAAATTTAATAAAACAATTAAATTTCAGAATGCCTGCTGGAGCTGGCAGCAGTAATGCAGAACATTATGCAGATGTGAGAATATATTTTAGTTATATGTACATTTAGCTTGTTTATTTACAAAACTTACCATAAACCTTCTATTATACTTTAGGTTTTTAAATTTAAAGGTTGGTCAACCAACATTACCCGAAGGAAGTCAACAACATTTTGGGTTTCCTCCATACCCAAACCATGGAAAACAACAATATCTTACACAAATAGCAACAAATAAAGAAGATCATGAACAACATTTAAGCCATACTCAACCTCATTTTAAATTATTTGGAAAGGATATTTATGTCGGAGATCAAGGTGTTTATTCTGAATATTAAATGAGTAAAAATAAAATAATCTGTAAAAGGGAAACTTAAAATCACATTGAACAATTAAATTCCGTTATGTAGGTTCTTGGAAGTGCAAGTACTCATTTAAAATAAAATAACATTTAGAATATAAGATTCAGACTATTAAACCTTACATATAAACACTTATAATCCGTTATGTATTACCTGAAGCATTAGCTGTTCCCCCTCCTATATGAGCTCAATTTTCTTAATCCTCCGTTAAATCTTCAAATCCACCTTGACCTCTCCAAATTCACCGATTCTGATGAATTAGTTAAAAAATTAATATAAAAATAATGCCACAGTCTCCAAACCATTAATATAACCAAAATACATATTTTAAATTGTTACTAATTTTTAAATAAAGATGCGACATTTCCTGAATATTTATATCCAAGCACTGAAGAGGAGGAACAACAGAGTAATATTTATATTAAATTTTGTTATACTTTGTGGTAATCTCGATAACCGAAATTTTCTATGAAGATCTCGTCTCGGTCCGGCTCTACAATGTGGTTATCCGCCCACATTTTTCTATCTACATTTTCCTTTTCAAACATACGATAAGATAAGCACAATACCAATTTTGTTGACTAAATTTTTTTTTATTTTCAGTGCTTTTACGTGCACAAGAGGAGTCAGCTCGTAATGCTCCTCTCAGATCGGGGAACTTGGCAATTGGTGGTAATAGATTATTTTTAATTTAAATTCGTTGATGCTGAACAATCTTTAATGTTCATCTGTTAATCAAATATTTTTATTACGTATTAATCATTTCCGGAGAAAAATAACAATCATCTCCTAAATAATCTTTCGCTATTTTGAAAATATGTTCGACTATTTAGCTTGGATCGAACATATCAAAGAGACCGTCATGTCAAAGAGCCGTTTAGATCCAGGAAACATTTATCTCCACAAATATCTAACTAAAAAGCCAACTAATAATTTAAATTTTAACATTTAAATATAATACACAAAGAGCACACACGGTTAAGGAGCACAAACGGTCTCTGTGACACGGTTTCTTGAAAAAACAGTTTCTATTGTTTATTAAATTAAATTATAATTTAGCTGGACGTTCACGTCAAAGAGGAGGAGCAAGCCGCCGAGGAAGTTCACGTCCTGAATGTATTTTATTAACTAAAAAATAAAAATACATATGTATTTACCACTTATGAGGGGTTTTTCAGATTTATATTTTTCTATATAGCACGTTTTTTCGAATAAACGACAATACAAATTCCATAAAGAACTATAACTTTTATTTACAAAAATTAAAATTATTAATGAAATGATTTTTAGAAAAGAATATTTGTAAAACATTTAAATTAAAAATAATTTTTACAGATAGAGGAAAGGGTAAAATGGATGACTAACGAGATGAAAATTGAGTATTTGATGGGAACTTGGTTACTGATTATTTGAAGTTTAAACAAATTAACAATGAAAACATTGTTTTTTTTGTTATTGTAGCAACAAATCTATACGAGACTTTCCTTTAAATCTTTACTATTTTTATTACTTTTCCTGTGATTATCAATTGGTTTTCATTTTATTTCGGATTTGGTGTTATTTTATATTGGGATCCGACTGCTTCAACTTATATAAACCTTGTTAACCCAAATACTTTCCTTTAGATCTTTAATATTTTTATATTTTTTCCCTTCAAATTAGCAATCTGTCTTTATTTTATTTTGGATCATATTTTCGGTTAAAATTTTACTGGATCTGTCAAATGGGAAAATTAGATGTAAAACTAGATAGATAATATAGTCGGATCTCAACATTGATTAGCCATTATATGACCAACAAATTTTAGAATTATCAAGATTTTTCAAAATTTTGGGCATTTATATTTAAATCCTTTCTTTTCTGTTTTTATTTCCTAGTTAAAATTCTAGAGTGATTTGTTTCTGTTGGGAAGGTTAACAGTAGATCATACATACAGTCAGATATCTGCACTTATTTCATAATTTAGGCTTATTCATTAACCGTGTTAACCGTGCAATTAGAATTTAAAATCTTTATTTGCTGTGTATTTATCAAGAATTTGTTAAATCTTAGAGTGACATTCGGAGTCATTTGTTACCAGCACATTTGGCATTAACAATTGACATCCACTTGAAAAAATATGACAGCACATTAAGTAGAACACATATTCCGAAATCAAAAAACTTTTCGAAAAGGGAGGGATGAATGTCCGGGAATTACTCGCCAACGCTCCGGAAGAAATAAAGAAGTTACCTAAAGAAGATATAATTGACAAAGAAGACTGCAAACTGCTCGGACTAGGATGGAATATAAGCAAAGACGAATTCCAAATTAAGTTCCCGACCTATAAAGAAGAAAAAGTAACCAGAAGAAAGGTATTAGCGCAAATTGCCAGACCTTTTGACCCGCTTGGATTCGGAGCGCCAGCCATTCTGCCAGCGAAATTACTCCGACAAGAGATTGAAAGAGAAGGAAAATTAAGTTGGGACAAAGACCTATCACCTGCAATGACCGAAAAGTGGAAGGAGCTTATGAAGCATTGGGAAGGCGCGCACTTAACGGTTCCGCGATTGGCCTGCTCGAAGGCCAAAAATTTAAAAGCTGAACTACATGTCTTCACGGATGCATCAGGTTCCGCATTCGGCGCAGCAATTTATCTGAGAATCGAAGACGATCCATTCGATTGCAATTTGATCTTTGGGAAAAGTCTAGTAGTGCCTACCTCGCTGCCCTCGACAAGAAGAACCATACCTTGTTTAGAGCTACACGAAGCAATGTTAGGAACCAAATACACCAAGTTCGTTCGTGAACAGTTGGAAAAGGAATATCCCATTGAAAGAACTATATTGTGGACGGATGCAATCGACGTTATCGACTACGCCCTCAGTGAAAAGAAGCAAGCAGATTTATTAAAAATAGGGTAAACAAGATTCGAGACTACGAAATAAGGCATGTGGACGGAGAAAATAATCCGGCCGACATCGCCTCGCGAGGAGCCACGCCAGAAGAACTCGCTTCACATACCCTATGGTGGAAAGGCCCAACATTCCTACGTCAACCTGAAACAAAATGGCCTGAAGTGAAGCGAATTTACGACCCGCTCGCAAACAGGGAACCAAACAAAGAAAATCCTTTGTTTGAAATGAGCCTCGCCGCCAAGCAAAACCATCCAGACGAGACGCAAGACAAATTCTTGATTGACTTCACGCGGTTCTCAAACTGGAATCGGCTGGTCAATTGTATGGCTTACGTTCTACGAGCGAAAGAAGCCTTCATGAAAAAAGGACGAAAAGCCGCCTCCGCGCTCGTGCGGAGAAAAGGAAAAAGGGAGATCGAATCCCTAACAGTACCTGAAGTTTCGGAAGCGGAAGAATTTATTCTAAGATGGATACAAAAACATTACCCCCGACTGACGAAGAAACAAGGAATCTGAACATAATTCACTTCAGAAGAAGTAGCATACCCTTTAAGACCCATTGACATTTTAGATTGCTCAGCACAACTATGAAGAACAGCCGTCAACCCGAAGTGATTGTTGGAGGCTCACAAGAAAGCATTGCAAAAAAGCCATAAGCAAAAAAGCCTCAACATTTCAATTGCCATAATTTAATTTTATTTTTATTTGCATTTTTCGCTTTTAGTATTTCCCATCAATATATGTCAATTGAAATCCGTAAACTTTGTTCTTTTTCTCCTTTCCCTTTTTTGTTGTTTGTAAAAAGTTGTGAGAAAGAAACGGTGTAATAAAGGTTTAAAAGGAACGCACTCTCCGATCGGGGAGAGAGAACCGCTCGAGGTAGAGGTTCCGTTTAGCCGCTATTACACCGCTCGGAAAAGTTTTTAATTCCTTAACAAAAAGGGAAGGAAAAAAAATAATAAAAAGGATTTCTTCTACATTAATATGACTCATTCTTCTAAAACAAATTATAATCCACTGCTGCGGCAAAAAACTTTGACAAATTCATGTATTCTGTGTGGATTATAAATTTATTTTTTGCAATTCTGTGTATTTTTGATCCACTATATGGGACGCATAATAGCTTATGGGATGAATGTCTTAAAATGGAGCCAAGGAAGATAAAAAATTATAGAATGAATGGTTCGATGAAATGATCCTCTTGGCTCAATCTTTTGTGAATAGGCGGAGAGAGAAAAAAAGCAATGACATTTTGTGAAGTATCCCGCTCCTTAAAATTTCCCTTTAAAAATGGGCTAGAATAGAATTACTTTCATATTACATAAGAATAATTAAAAATCATGATGAGCAAATTAGATAAAATGTCTTGCACAACCTTAAACTATTAGGCATTAAGAAGAAGGAGCATGTTCTATATAAAGTAAGGTATGTAGCATCCCGGCCTCCAAAATACAACCCCGACGATTTTTTGGTTAAATAGGCACAATCTTGAGGCAATCCCAATATCGTTAATTTGAAAAAGCTATGGCCTGTAAATAAATGAAACCTTGAATTTCTGTCTTATTCACAAAGTATAATCAAAATAATTTCACCTGCGGCACTAAAAAAATATATTAGCTTGAGTTCGGAGATATAAATATAATTGAGCGTGATTATTTTCATTGCATATATAATGTTTATATTTTCTATATATCTTCTAGTGCTCATCTAAAAATACAAACAATTTTTTTTATTTTGAAAATATTTAAAACAATTCCATAAAGTAATGAAGCTTTCAATATTTTTGCTTTTTTGCTTATTTTTTAAACTTGATCTTGTTAATTTAACTGAAAGAGGTGATGGAAAGGATGGACAACATAATTTCAATCCTTCACGATACCGTGATGGCGAAACAAGCGAAACAGAAACTAGTCAACAAATGAATGTAGGAGAAGTGTTGATGGAAAACCTGGGGTTAATAGAAATAATTTATTTTAATTAAAAAAATTAAGGAATGGTTATTCTGCCAAATGTGATTGGAACGGATGTGGAAGGGTTTTTTATGATCAAAATGAATTTGTGGAACATGTTAAAGAACATACAAAAAATCAAAAGGTCACTAATTATTTGATAATAGTCATTTTCCTGCTTAATAAAGTCAGTGAAAGTGGGCTCTCTTCAGTCAACTTAAAATTTTTAGTTTACATTCCTGTCTTAATTTGTTTTATAATATTTAAAGGGTCCCCGTCGCAACTGTCTTTGGTCTGGATGTAATGGAAAGTCTTTTTTGCAACCAAATTTCGCACAACATATTAGAACACATACAGGAGTAAAGCCTTATGTTTGCACGGTATTAACTTCAGAAAACTTTTTAGCAAAGTTCTAAAATATTCCTTTCCAGTATGTTGATCAAAATGATGTTAGTTGTAATGAAAAATTTACTCGTCAAGAAAATCTTAAAAATCATCAACGTGAGCATACAGGAGAAAAAATTACGTATAAATGTGCTCATTGTGATAAGGTAATTAATTATATACATATTTTTTAAATTTAATTTTGTTTTATTGGGAATGAAGAGGAATTTATTGAGAATTTAAGAAAGACCAATCGAATTTCGTTACTAAAATATACTTCGGACCGTGTTTCGAAACAACTAAAACTTGGAACAGATAAAACCATAGAATCTTGTTAATAAAACAGAGTTTCCTTCAATTTTTTACTAGAACTTAAATGGGTTTTCTGTTTTTAAATTTTGTGAATTTTTTAGAAGTCAATTTTTTGTTTTCTATGTACAAAAAGGTCATTGAATAAATACATGGTGACCCAAAAGTAATTGGACACTTTATTTTTGCCATAACTTTTTTCAAATTAAAGATAATGAGATCAAATAAGGATGAAATTATAGAGAATTAAATGGAGAATAAAATATAAAAATCTTTTAGAATTTTCCCTATTCTACTTTGAGATAAGGTTCAAGGAATGTAAGAAAAATTATTGCTCTAGGTCACACCTTTTTTTGAGACATTTTGTCTATAACATTAGAATAGATTGCAGAAATTACACAAAATTTTTTCTGGCATCTAGAGCAGTCTTTTATCTATAGAAATCATAAAGAAAAAAATTTTTTAGATTAATGCTTAAAGAGATATTCGATTGCGCGTAACCCTCCCAAAATGAGAAAATTGCATTCACCCAAAAACTGATTTACATATACTCAGAGCCATTCATGTAGGAGTTGGACTGAATAAATAGATGGGTAGTGCTCATCGAGCTGAGTAGATTAACTCCACAAAAAGTATTAGAAAACGAGACCTACCGCTATAATTTAATAAATATTATACAAATTAACTTAAATTTATTTGGGAAATATAAATGATATGAGTAAGGCCCGGGTTCATACTAACCTTCATTCTTCTTTTATTTACTTATAACAAATTTGTTAGAGGACAATTTTAGGTAGTGAATTGTAAATGGATATGTATATAGAGCTCATTGAGCATTCCGTACATTTCCGAACTGTCAAAAAATTTTTATTATTTTTTTGCTCTATCTTGTAGAGCAACGAAACTTTTAAAAAGAAAATTAATTTTTAAATTTTTAGACTTTTTCAAGTATCAGTAGCAAAACTAAACATGAAAAAATACATAAAGATGAAAACTATTATAGATGTCCAGTATTTATGTGTTTTAAACCAATTAAATGTTTGAATGTTCTGAGATATCATGTTTGTAAACAACACGGAGAACATGTTTGGGATTTTATTATAAAAAATAAAAAAATGAAAAAAGCAAACAATTATGGGGTAATTGGAATAAGGGAAGATGGAACTCCTTACGCGTTAGTTTGTTTTTTTTCTATAAAATTTCAATGATGGGATATTTTGTATGTTTATTTTATTTTTTATTAAAACATTAACGTTCTGTCATTTGAAATTTAATAAAAATTAAATTTCAGAATGCCTGATGGAGCTGGCAGCAGTGTAGGAATATAATTTTTATTATATTAAAATATAATTTTAGTTTTTTAATTACGAAACTTACCATAAACCCTTTATTTTACTTTTGGATTCTAAATTTAAAGGTTGGTCAACCAACATTACCCGAAGCAGGGCAACAACATTTTGGTTTTCCTCCATACCCACACCATGGAAAACAACAATATCTTACACAAATAGCAACAAATAAAGAAGATCATGAACAACATTTTGGCCATACACAACCTCATTTTAAATTATTTGGAAAGGATATTTATGTCGGAGATCAAGGTGTTTATCTTGAATATTAAATAACTAAAAATGATCTAAAAAGGGGAAACATAAAATCTAATTGAACAATTAATTGCGTTACGTAGTTTTTTTGGTAGGCCAAGTAGTCAGATTTTTTTGCGATACAGAGAAAATTTTCCCAAATTATATTTTTTAAATAATGGAATTAGAGTCTAAAACGGTCGATAACACCAATAATAAAAAGCCGTCATAAGAACTTATCATTATAGATAAGTAATTATAAGAAAGAAACTGAACTACACATAAAAGGCATATTTGAGAAGATCGCAATGTTTAGTAGTACAAATTACTTAAATTATTTCTATGCCAAAAAATATGGAATTTATATAGCTAGGGGTTGGAGGTTGTTGGGAGGGGACTGTGTCGAAATAATTCTATGTTGGAGGTTTTCTCTTTTTGCTATATGTTCTTGTAATTCGGGTCAAAGCTGGGCGAAAATAAAAAATTTTTCAAATCATTTGAAGAAATGTATCCAAAGTTTTATTTGTCTTATCCACTTGTGCCACCTACTGAATCTGAAAAAATAAAACAAATATTTGTCAAAGATTTAGTAGATTTTTAATGTTATAGAAAGTTTTAAAACCTCGGACTCGTTCTTTGGCAACATATACATATATGAAATATATATTTTTAACTGTTAATAAATTTTAATATAAAGATTCGACACTTCCTCAATATTTATATCCTAGCACTGAAGAGGAAGAACAGCAGAGTAATATTTATATTAAATTTTGTTATACTATGTGTTAGAACCCCGAATGGGACGGTCGTACGAGAATCGAGATTTCGATAACCGAAATTTTCTATGAATACCTCGTCTCGGTACGGGCTCTACAATGTGGTTATTGGATAAGCACACAATACCAATTTTGTTGACAAAAAAATTTTAATTTTTCAGTGCTTTTACGTGCACAAGAGGAATCAGCTCGAAATGCTCCTTTTAGATCGGGGAACCTGGCAATTGGTGGTAATAAATTATTTTTAATTTAAATTTTTATTTTTATTGTTCATCTGTTAATCAAATATTTTTATTCCGTAATAATCATCCTCGAATATACAGTGCCGGAAAAAAAGATAGGACCAGAGGCTGTTAAATTAGTTTTTTTCGCTTATCTCTTTTTTAATGGCATTTAGAAAATAAGTTTCAACACAAAAATTTTAGGCCATTAAGTGCTCTTTAAAATGAGTATAAATTTGTGGAAAGGAAAATTTGTGGAAAGGAAAATGTGGGCGTCTGGTCCTATCTTTTTTTCCGGCACTGTAATACTATCACGGTGTACGGAATTTTGGTCACTGGAATTCTGGTCACCACGATTTTTCGGAATTCTGGTCACCAATTTTTTTTGAATTTTGGTCACCAGCGGAATTTTGGTCACCAAGTCGAAAAACGGAATATTGGGCACTGAAATTTTGGTCACCAATAGGAATTTTGGTCACCAAACGGAAAAAAAGAATCTTATCTAAAACTGATATCAAAGTGATATAAAATTGTTTTTTAACTCCCAGTTGATCAATTTCAATGTTGATCACTCTCACAGTTAATTAATCATCTGGGAGAGTGATCGAGAGTGATCAACCGAGAGAGTGATCAGCCGGGAAAGTGACAAACATTGAAATTGATCAAATGGGGGTTGAAAAATCATTTTTTATCACTTTGATATCAGTTTTAGATAAGATTATTTTTTTCCATTTGGTGACCAAAATTCCTATTGGTGACCAAAATTTCAGTGATCAATATTCCGTTTTTTGACTTGGTGACCAGAATTCCGCTGGTGACCAAAATTCCAAAAAAATTGGTGACCAAAGTTCCGAAAAATCGTGGTGACCAAAATTCCGGTGACCAAAATTCCGGCACCCACTATCACTCCTAGTGAAGGATCGAAATAATATAAAATTAGACTAGAAATGGGGTTATATGGGTATAAATTTTTAATAAATAAGGACATCATAACCAAGTACAGGTATCAATGTCTAACGAAGGTAAAAAAATTATGAGGACGTTTCAAGTTAAAGAGACCGATCTCTGTTTCTATAAAAACACATTTTCTATTGTTTGTTAAAATATTGAATTAAATTATAATTTAGAAGGACGTTCACGTCAAAGAGGAGGAGCAAGCCGCCGAGGAAGTTCACGTCCTGAAGGTATTTTATTAACTAAAAAATAAAAATATCTACCAACTCTTGTTATCTAGAGGTTTTTCAGATTTATATTTTTCTAAATAGCACGTTTTTTTGAATAAATGACAATAAAAGTTCCATACAGAATTATAACATTTATTCACAAAAATTAAAATTATCAATGAAATAATTTTTAGAAAAGAATATTTGTAAAACATTTAAATTAAAAATAATTTTTACAGATAAAGGAAAGGGTAAAATGGATGATTAACGAGATGAAAATTGAGTATTTGAGGGGAACTAGTTTACTGGTTATTTGAAGTTTAAACAAATTAACAATGAAAACATTGTTTTTTTGTTATTGTAGCAACAAATCTATACGAGACTTTCCTTTAAATCTTTACAATTTTTATTAATTTCCTATCATTACCAATCGGTTTTTATTTTATTTCGGATTTATGGTTATCATATATTGAGATCCGACTTCTTCAACTTTTATGAATCTTGTTAACTCAAATATTTTTTTTCAAATCTTTAATATTTTTATTAATTTTCTCTTCAGATTACCAATTAGTCTTTATTTTATTTTCGGTCATATTTTAGTTAAACTCTTACGGGATCAGTCAAATGGGAAAATTAGATGTAAAACTAGATAGATAATACAGTCGGATCTCAACATTGTTTAGCCATTATATGACCAACAAATTTTAGAATTATCAAGATTTTTCAAAATTTTGGGCATTTATATTTAAATCCTTTCTTTTCTGTTTTTATTTCCTAGTTAAAATTCTAGAGTGATTTGTTTCTGTTGGGAAGGTTAACAGTAGATCATACATACAGTCAGATATCTGCACTTATTTCATAATTTAGGCTTATTCATTAACCGTGTTAACCGTGCAATTAGAATTTAAAATCTTTATTTGCTGTGTATTTATCAAGAATTTGTTAAATCTTAGAGTGACATTCGGAGTCATTTGTTACCAGCACATTTGGCATTAACAATTGACATCCACTTGAAAAAATATGACAGCACATTAAGTAGAACACATATTCCGAAATCAAAAAACTTTTCGAAAAGGGAGGGATGAATGTCCGGGAATTACTCGCCAACGCTCCGGAAGAAATAAAGAAGTTACCTAAAGAAGATATAATTGACAAAGAAGACTGCAAACTGCTCGGACTAGGATGGAATATAAGCAAAGACGAATTCCAAATTAAGTTCCCGACCTATAAAGAAGAAAAAGTAACCAGAAGAAAGGTATTAGCGCAAATTGCCAGACCTTTTGACCCGCTTGGATTCGGAGCGCCAGCCATTCTGCCAGCGAAATTACTCCGACAAGAGATTGAAAGAGAAGGAAAATTAAGTTGGGACAAAGACCTATCACCTGCAATGACCGAAAAGTGGAAGGAGCTTATGAAGCATTGGGAAGGCGCGCACTTAACGGTTCCGCGATTGGCCTGCTCGAAGGCCAAAAATTTAAAAGCTGAACTACATGTCTTCACGGATGCATCAGGTTCCGCATTCGGCGCAGCAATTTATCTGAGAATCGAAGACGATCCATTCGATTGCAAGTCTTGGCAAGTCATAATTAAAGTGCAGCGCATTTTCATCTCTCTCTCTTCTCTATTTATTTCTCTTAAATCCTTTCTCTCCTCCGATTTTTTACATAGAGATGGGATGGACATATTCACTTATTCACTCTCACTTATTCAGCTTCTTAAAATTTACCTTTATAAACAGTCCAAAAATAGTTGATAGAATTGCTTTCTTACTCCTTAACGCAAATTAAAAATTAAGTGAAGTCCTAGACTCTCATTCTAAATTCGTACATTTAATTCTACTTAAAGTTGGGCGATGTTTATTGAAATAACCGAGAGAGGATTATTATTGCATTATCGGCCCCCATTTTTATTATCTTTATCCTTACTTAGAAAATATTTTTTATTAGATTGAAAAATGACACTCTATCACATCAACTACTTCTCTAGAATTCGAACTCAGAAACTTTCCTTAAATTAACTTGAAACACATATAATCCCTCAAATCACCTTATGTATATTCCGTATATACACTTTAATTCTATAAAATCTCCATTGACTAAATTTCTGCCGCTGTATAATTTTCATTGCTTATACATATTGCTTTTCTAAAAAATATAAACAAAATATTTTTTAATTCTAAAATTATTTAAAACAATTTCAGAAGTAATGAAGCTTTCGATATTTTTGCTTTTTTTCTTATTTTTTATACTTGATCTTGTTAATTCAACTAAAAGAAATTATGGAAAGGATGTGCAACATAATTTCAATCCTTCACGATACCGTGATGTCGAAACAAGTGAACCAGAAACTAGTGGTCATGTAGAAACTGGAACAGGAAGCATGCCCTCAAATACTGAAGGATACACTCAAGAAGTGAATCCTTCTGGCCTAGAAACTTTTCAAACTTTGTCAAATTTGAATCAAGATTTAGGCAATAATCCGTTTTTATTTTCACCTCAACATCAACAAATGAATGTAGGAGGACAAGTGTTAATCGAAAACCAAGGGTTAATAGAAATAATTTATTTTAATTTAAAAAATTAAGGAATGGTTATTCTGCCAAATGTGAATGGAACGGATGTGGAAGAGTTTTTAATAATCAAAATGATTTTGTGGAGCATGTTAAAGAACATACAAAAAATCAAAAGGTCACTAATTATTTGATAATAATCATTTTCCTGCTTAATAAAGACCGTGAAAATGCGCTCTCTTCATTACCCTAAAATTTTTAGTTTACATTCCTGTTTTACTTTGTTTTATTTAAAGGGTCCCCATCGCAACTGTTTCTGGTCTGGATGTAATGGAAAGTCTATTTTCTCAACAAATTTTCCACAGCATATTAGAACACATACAGGAGTAAAGCCTTATGTTTGCGAGGTATTAACTTCAGAAACCTTTTAGCTAAATTATAAAATATTTCTTTGCAGTATGTTGATCAAGATGGTGTTAGTTGTAATAAGGAATATTCTTCTCCGCAAAATCTTAAAATTCATCAACGTGAGCATACAGGAGAAAAAATTACGTACAAATGTGCTGATTGTGATAATGTAATTACATAATTATATATTTTTTAAATTTAGGTAATTTTGTTTTATTGGGAATGAAGAGGAATTTATTGAGAACTTAAAAAAGACAAATCAAATTTCGTTACTAGAATATTCTTCGGACCGCGTTTCGAGACAAATAAAACTTGGAACAGATAAAACCATAGAATCTTGTTAATAAAACCCAGTTTTCAATGTACAAAAAGGTTGAATAAATAGATGGGTAGCAGGGATGGACTTATTTCGCACTTTCACGTTCGCATCTTTCGCATTCTCGCATTTTTTGGCGCGAAAAATTTCGCATTTCGTTTTTTATAATATTTATACATTTCGCCCAGCCCTGATTTATACTAAACTTTTAAAAACGTAATTACATCCTTCAATCTTCTTTTATTTTAATAAATTTGTTAGAGGACAATTTTAAGTAGTGAATAAA